CTGGAGTGCAAGTCTGGACAATTGGTGGTGCAGAATATCGAGCTGCCGCCTGGATTCATTGAAGACATTGTGGAACGGGTGAGGGAGCAGCGTCCTTCGTTGCTCACCACCGAAACCCAGACAAGCCGCCAGGCCAGCAGTGAACCCGCCTCCTCCGAAAAGGAGCAACCCGTAAAGCCACCTCGTCATAGCAAGACCACCGAGCAATCGCCACCGACAGCCAATCTGGACGAGCAGACCCAGACGGAGGCAGGCCTGTTGCCACTGCCTCCACCGCCGGCAGCATATCCCAGTGTGGAGTACCTCCAGTCACTGGCTCCACTGGCCTTCTACAATCTCCAGCGTAGCGCGGAGGCGGAGCAGGCAGAGGCCACATCCACAGCCGACCGAAAGGCACCGCACAAATGTCGACGTCGACATGTCCAGGAACACATCGAGCCGGAATCTGGATCTGACCTAGAGGAGCAGTTGGTGGAGCGGCCACGCTCGCGCTCACGGCGCTCCCGCACCCGTAGCGCTACACAGCCACTGGAGGAGGACTACGACGAGGATCAGCCCAAGACAGTTGTCCAGGCGGGACGACAGTTTATTTCCGCCTGCAGTCTGGAGCTTGTGAGCATCATTAACCAGCTGACGCACTACGTCCGTGGCGAGGCAGTGGAGCCACAGCAAGCGCCACGTAACGTGTCCGCACTGATGGTGCTCTTCATCCTGATAACGTTCGGAGTGCTGGTCTTCCTGCTTACCGGGCGTCAGGTGCACACGCACCACTGGGACTACTTTAATCCGCCCGGGAACGAGCACGGACGGCAGACGTGAGGGACTGTGGGGAGTCCACATCCTGGTTTTGCTATCCTTTGGGGCGGTTTTGCATTTTGGAGCATCGAATCTGGCCAAGAGTCATGACGGGGAGAAGAAACGAATTTAAACGCGGCCAGGTGTCCGCTCGAAACTTGAAGGCCTTAATGATACTAACGAGAAATTACTTTAGGAGAGGTGCGCCGATGGGGGCGGAGGTGGGCGAGGGGCGTGCCCGTGCTACTAGTCACACAAAACAATCGAAACCAGAATCCCAGTTCAAGCATCCATCATCAAACACATACCGACATCTAACTTGTACTAACCAGAAATATAGAGGGAACATTTTTCAACATTGTCTACCAACGATATAGAGATCTATATGAAAACAACGACCATGTATTAACTATGTACTTAACACATGCTATGTATGTACATAGAAGTTTTCAGTTTCATGCGAAGAAGGAGCGAGGACCACTAATCCAATAAACACTTATTTTGTTTGCTCATTTTTTCTACCACATAAGGCAAAGCGAGAGATTTAATTGTTGAACAAATTGTTGTTTAATTTAGACCAAAAAGTAGCAATTAATATACAAAACATACACTCTTTTTCATTGAATTCATTTAAACGTTATAATTTGAAATGCGAGTACTTAGCCAGCAAGTGAAACATATATCTTAAATATATAGAAGCGTATTTTCAATAAAGCAAAATGATATAAAATAAACAAAATTGTGTTTCCTTACCAAGGAGGGATTATCAAAGTAAATCTAAAAACTAAGCATTGAAGATGTAGTTGCTCTACAACAAAAAGTCCTCATCGTATTGAACCATCTCGCGATGATCCTTGTGACTGCCTTTCTGCGATTTGCTGGCGGCTATAAAAGATATTGTTTTAGGGCTTTAGTTTTAAAGTATACACTTTAAGAACTTACCAATTGATGACCAGACTGCCGACGACGAGGCATCATTAATTGGCTCAATCTGGGGCTGCCGTCTAGCTAGCTGCACCTGCAAATTGATGCCATTCACATTCTTGCCATGCATTTCCGCAATGGCCCGGTCTGCGGACTCTGGCTTGGCGAAGGAAACGAAGCCGCGACTGCAAGAAATAAAACATGATTTAAGATTAATACATTTCTTAAGAGCTATAAAAGCTCTAAAAGTCCATTATTACCTCTTCTCGATTTCCATGGAAACATTGACAATGGTGCCGTAGTCGTTGAAGGTCTTCTTCAGGAAATCCTCGGTGACCTTGTTGCCGGACACGAAGATGGTGTTTCCGGCCCGTGGCTTCTCCGGCTGGACCGTGTCCATTGGCACCTTCTCGGGCACGCCGCGCTCCTCACGATCCCGCTCGGTGGCAAAGTGCTGATAGAGATTCTGGCGGCGCGGCTCCTCCTTGATGATCTCGCTGATGATAGTCTCCTGAGCCACGTCATTCTGGGTGGAGGAGAAGGGCTGGTAGGAGGCGACGCTGGTCTCCGAGGTGGAGCGCTTGGCACGCTCCTGTCCCTTAGGTCGCTTAAAGGAGGTCTGATCCTGTTTGGTCTGCTTCTGGATGGCGGGAATGGCGCCGCTTTTGATCAGTTTTCGAGCGACCTCGCGGGCATCCCGAGCATCCGTGGGACGCTTCAGAGTCAGAGAGCTTTCTGGCTCCGGTTTGGGCGCCTTGTGTGCCTGCAGAGCCTTTTTCTAAAGGATAAAAAAACATTTAGCCCGTGAACCACTCATTTTGTAGGGGTTTCCTCACCTTCTTCTTCAGCTTTTGGTATTTGGCCTGCAGCATCTGCTCCTCTTCAGTTAAATTGGTGGGGAAGTGTATGTAGACCATTTTTGGTACAGTTTATTATCCTTTATCCTGCTAGAATTAATTATTCGCAATTTATTCGGGGGTCGATTTGTACACAAATTCTTCTTGTTTATTTTTTTCGCCGCTATGAAATTTAGGGATGGGTTAGCCACTCACGGAAGTACCGATATATCGCATATTTAAAAAAACTAACAGTTTAGGATTATTTAGACCGTAGACAACCAGAAGCTTATGAATTATATATAATAATATTTATATTTTTTAATGTTATTTATATTTAAAATATTTAAAATGAACCAATTCCATTGATTACCCCCAAAATCAGTGAGCCTCAGCTCTTTAGTACGACTGTGAATGATATAGTGTTAAAATACACTCTCAATTGGTGTTGATTTGCTGCCACACTAATGTGTGTTGTACAGCACTAACCCAAATGCAACCCTGCGTTTAGCAACACTAACGCCATGTTGCCGCAGTGCTGTCAAAAATGTTCTTTCCTTCTCTTTCTTTCCGGTTAGCGTCATGGTAAGAATCAACGAAGGTTTCTCCGGATCGGTTGAAAAATGTGAAAATTAAGCGGTCTAAACGGACCGAGATGAATTAAGACTGGCGACCAAGTTAACGGGTCAGTGCGTTGAACGTGTGAAAAGAGAAATTGCAGCATAAGCCAACAAATATCATGGAATATCAGCCTTTCAAATATTTCACGTGGTGCACACCAACACAAGCAACGCGCTGGCCATGTAGCAATTGAAATTACTATTTCGATCCATTTTAATGGTTATTTCTCTGCTTGCAGCCTTTCGAGAGATTCGTACAAACTGGTCGCATTGCCAAGGCCTCCGCAGGTCCCCTGAAGGGGCGCCTGGTGGCTATTGTCGACGTCATCGACCAAAACAGAGTAAGTGCATCATTTCTGGAGGGGAGCACAGCATCAAATCGCCCAATGACGAGCTCTTGCACATGATGATAATTTGTCTTCTTGATAGGAAGTGCCAACTGACACATAAATGAAGCTAGTTTAACCCACTGAAAGCAAGCAAGCAAGCATGGCATTTGTTGATGTGCCCCTTAACCTTCAAAAGATGGAACCTTTACTTACCTTTGGTTTCTTTAACAGGTGCTGGTTGATGGTCCTCTGACCGGCGTGCCCCGTCAGGAATACAGATTGAACAATCTGCATCTGACCAAGTACCGCATCAAGTTCCCCTTCACCGCGCCCACGCGCATCGTGCGCAAGGCCTGGACAGAGAGCGACCTGAAGGCCCAGTGGAAGGTCAGCCCCTGGTCCGTCAAGGCACAGAACATCTGCAAGGTATGTACGGAGTCTAAAAGGAGAATCCTAGTTGTAAGGGAACGGATATTTTAGACAGAGAAGAAAATGTTTTAAACAAAATTTGTACTTTTATAATTATATCTCATTAAATCTAAGTTAATACAATGCTATACAGTTTCAAAGGTTTCTATTTATTTTAAATTTAATACCATTTTGACAATAGTTTTATTAAACTTATGAAAGTTTTACAACCTCAAAAAAACACGTGTTAATGTTGATCATTTGATTTCTTAAATCAAAACTAATTCTGTAAACATACTATCTAAACCGACTAATCCTTTTATTTTACAACCTTAATCCCGCTTACACATATTTATCAGTAAACAAAAAGCTTAGTGCAAATGTTTTTGCTTAGACAAACTTGTATTTAATTAGATTTTCAATACCCATAAAACGCATACATCGGTACTGCATTGATTTTTAAACAATATGATAATTAAAATATATTTTAACTCAAGACCAAGTTAATACCATGAACACTTAAAACTACTAAGAATTTCCACCATTATGATTCAATTAAGATTATTTTTCTATTAGAAGGCACTTTAGATAGTAATACATATTCTTCTCTGTCTAGTTGTTTACCTTTTTGAACTGCACATGATGATAGTTGAAAGTTCTTGATAGGAATTGCCGGCTGACACATAAATGAAGCTAATTTTATTTTATCTGATTACAATCTTAGCTAGTTATTTTCGCAAGCGTTCTGGATTAAGCCTTATTATTAACCCATTCATTACTCCTTTGCAGCGCTCCTCGTTGAACGACTTTGACCGCTTCAAGCTGCGTTATGCCAAGCGCCAGCGCAACAAGCTGCTGACCATCGCCTTCAACACACTGAAGAAGCGCACCAAGGCTGACGGCACTCCCCGCGTCCTGAAGAAGGATCGTCGTGAGCGTCTGCGTGCCGAGAAGGCCAAGGGTGGCAAGAAGGCCGCGGCCAAGAAGTAAAAACACTACCTTTAACGAAAGTAACTGCTTGATGAACATCCACCACAATGGAGAAAATAAAAGAAAGTGTTATTTTTAGGAAAAACACACGCATAACGTACTTTTTTTTTGGATTTAACAGTTTTATTTGCTCTCAAGAAACAATATGATCTCTTAACAGTCCAATCTTTAAAGCACAGTCTACCAAATAGAGAACGAACAAAGCCCCGCTCAAGTGGGACACTTGCCGTAGATGGTCTTCCAGTTGTTGGGATGGTTGTAGCCCAGCAGGATGGGCAAGTGCAGGAACAGCGTGATATGTTCGCCTTGTATCGAAGTTGACACCTTGACCCACTTGCGCAGCCACTCGATCATGGCCTCGCTAGTGAGGCTCTCGGGATTCAATCCGCGCAGATAGCAGGAGTAGCGTAAAGCCTCCGGTGTCAAGTTGTGAACTCCGCCTTCGCGGGTGATGGCCTGGTCCATGTAGTGCACCAGAAACGCGTGCTCGTGGAGGCGATGTCTCTTGAAGATGCTGCTAGGCAGTCCATGAAGGTTGACAAGGTTTCTCTGAAAGAAAATATTTAGTTGTTGCATTAACTCTATTTCTGTTCGAACATACGACGTGTTTTCGCGACATGCCCAGCAAGGAGTAGGGTCCATCGGCAAAAATGTCCTTGACATCTATTAGCATTTCAGGCGTGGGGTGTGTGCCGCTTCCCAGCTGTCCCAGGATATCCGCAAAGGCCGAGTTTTTGGGATGCGAGGCCGTCGCCTTGAGCTTGGCCTGCAGGCAGCGGAAGACATCCTTGTTGTTGCCCAGTCGCCGCTTCATGTAGTAACTCTGGAACTCGGAGCGCTGCTGCGAAGTCCAAAAGTGAGCAGTGAGAAAGGAGCGGGGATACCAGAAGCTAGGGAAGATATATTCCAATAACTATCATAAACAAGTAATCTAGTCATAGACGAATCTTACACCAGGGGAAAGAAGGCGTAGCCCACCATTGGGAGGGAGCAGCCAATTAGAGCCGGCGCCACCTTCATCATGTCCCGCGGCATTTGCATGTACAGCTCCAGCTCCTGACGATTTAGGGCGCGGATTCCCTGGGGCGAATCGTTGGCTATGCGGGCAATCTTTAGGAACCGCTTCATATCGCCAAAAAAGTCCTTAACGCCATCGAAAAACACCCGATACAGCTGCATGGCCTTGGGAAAGTTTTTTTCGAGCACTTTGTCGTAGTTCTTGACATAGTTGAAGTAGCGGGTGAATATGTAGTCCTGCATGTTGTCCCGCATTTGATCCCGCTTGGATTTTAGAGTGTCCAGATCTTTGCGTTTTTCATCATCGGGTTTTTTGGGCGGCGGAGGGGAGGAGTCGCTGCTGGTGGGCTGGATTTGTGGCTTGTCGAGGGGTTTATTGGCATCCCAGCCCGTTTCGTAGATGACCTTGCCCACGCTGGTGATCTCGGCGGCCACATTCCGCTTGATTTGCGCCGGAGCCGCGGCTTCGGGTTTCGTTGAGAAGTTCCGGCTGCAGAATGTCTTCGGCCGGTTATCGCTGTTGCTAGATAATTGAATTTTAATGCTGATTGCTAATTGGGGTCGGACTCTCACCTGCTGCACAGGTGTAACAGTCGCCGGCGATCCCGGGGCCAGCAGTTCGTCGGAACCGCTGCAAATCGGGCCACGCGCAACGCTAACGCCATTCTGCAACTACAACTGCCAACCAGAAACCAGGAAGAAGCCCCTTATTACGCAACCGCCGACTCCAATGCAGGAGTTGCCCACAAAAATAAAAAAATTCAAGGAGCAATTCCGATTTCCTAGTTTCGAACAGCTGTTGCAGAGTAACCGTCGCTTTGCAACCGAAAAACCTCACCAAGGATCCAGGGGCTGACAGTTAGCATTGACTCAAACCAACCCATCAATTTTACCTTACAAAATGTCAAATGAGCGAAATCTACTGCATAGGTAATACCGTTGGGTTTGCCATGTAAAAAATGTAAAATTTAAATTGTTGTAAGAATGTGCTAGAATTGAAATTTAATTATTAACTCAAAGTCATACTAAAAATCAAACTATCAATAAAATTGTAAGATAATGAAAGTAGTCGAAAAAATAAAACAAGACAAATAATTAGATTCAGTTCTTTGAAAAATAAAATATACATACTATTCCTATTAAAAACGTTGTCTTTAGTTATACGAGTTTTTGATTTGTATTTTGACTGTTGCATAAGGGTGAAGTTACTCCTAACCAAATATATGGTCCCAAATAAATAACATTTTCATTTTTTATAAAAGTATGCTTTTTTTTGCATGAGATATTTTTTAAATTATGTATATTTTTGTAGTGGCATATACAGCTATAGATATTTATATGGTGTTAATATAAGTTATATGGTTAGTCTAAGCATAATCTTAAGAACTATCTTAAAGCTGGAATGTTTTTAATTTAATGAAGTCTTTGTAACAATCCTATAGGCTGAGTTATAACAATACTTAAGGGTAATCTATTGATCTATCTATTCATATAAGCTTTTTGGTTAGCTTAAACATAATCTTAACAAATATGTGCTTATCAATTCTGATTCTGATCTATAATAACTTTTTTATAATTTCTTACTTAGTTTTAGTTTCCATTTCCTGAGGCTTAGAAGGACATACATATTTAAATTTATTGTATAGCTTGGCGGCAGAAAGCAGTGGCGCACTGCTTGCGGGAGAGAGGCTTTCTCCCAGCTTGCAGCGAATTTTCCGCAGCTGCTGCGAGAGCGGAGAAAGTAGAGAAAGCGGAGAAAGCGCGCCTCAGTCCACCCGGAGTCGTCTGTTGCGTCGGTCGTTCGTGTCCTTTCCGCTCGCAAATTCACGCGGCGGCTGCTGGTGCATTTGTTTTCGCCTCGCACTAGATGCTGTCTGCAATCGGAAACAGCGAAAGCAAAAGCGGTGGCAATAAAAAAAGCCACAGCGGCAACAAGGAGCTAAATTAAGCGGAGGCGCAGGAAGAAGGCAAAAAACGTAACTAATCACCAGGCCATCAATGGCGGCCACTTTTAGCCATTTTGTGGCATAAGCGGAAACGGAAATGTGCGTTAGTTGTTTGGCAGGACGACAGGATGGGCGGGGGCGGGTGCGGGGCGGTGCAGGACTAGTGGGCGGGAAGACCTTCAGCGGGAAATTGTAAAACTTAGCGCGTGTCCAACTTGCTTGACTTCCCACTTGTGTCAGCGTATGAAAATGCGGAAAAGTGTAAAAGGCGGACCAAGTTGCCCGAAAGACACTCTCTAATGTCTCTTTCAGAAATCCAGTGTGTGAGTAGGTGTGTGTGTGTGTGTGGGTGTGTGTTACATGGTGTACATAACAGTGCGTATGTGTACGCGTGTTTTTTCCGCTTAGCTTCTGTGCGATTTATTTATCTGCCACAGGATATGGGATATGGCGTATATGTGTGTATACCAAGCGAGCTGGAAAAGTTTCAGTTACACTATTGACACGAGCACTAGCACATCGCTCGCCCCCATTTGTTTGTCCGCCCCCTCATAAAAATAGAACTAACTGAACCGAACGCCATAAATACAACCGCCAAATTGCCTGGTGGCCAGGTTTAATTGAAAAAACGTCAATACTCCTCCAGGCGACCACCCGTTGGCTCCTCGTCTTGCCCCAACGAAAAAGTCCTTGGCCAAACTCTGGCGAAGTTCAAGGTGCCCATGCTGCCCATATTAAGTCAATTCCCACGCCTTGTCCTCCGGTGATGGTCGATGTTCTGTGGGATTACATAAAGTGCCAATCTTGCCATCAGAATGCGTTATTTATGGAGATTTCCCTTCGCCGGCAGCCAGTTCAATATGTATTCCGCTTTATTGAATCGCCCGACTATGAGTTGCACTTTATAAATATTTAAGTTTAATACATTTCCATTTGGTTGGGCAATGGGAAAACAATTTCGTCGGATTACTCAGCAGAATCCTTGGAATGGGCAAACATTAAGGCAAACGAGAGTAGAATGTCCTGGAGATGATATCACACAGTAAACTTAAATTTTACAGCCACGTTTTGCATCTTTAAAGGCAGACTTGAATATTATTTTGTCCAACTTGGTCTTTATGAATCGATCTAAGCATGATTTAGGTATAAATCTGTCAATAATAACTAATTTTAAATTTCCTTTTATATTTCTTTAATTTTTTTTACAAGAGCTAAGTTTTGTAAAAGCTTTTAATTCATGATTATATACTATTTAGTTTTAAATTTTTTTAGGTAAACGACATTTTTGTGCCCTAAATATAAACGTTTTACGTTAAACCACAACTTCGAAATAAACAAAGAGCCAATTACCTTTAGTAGTTAGACACATTTATGTCAAAAGCAAGCGTGGTTCCATTTCCAATTACTGGGTTAAACTGCATGTTGATGCAGCTAGTTGTGGTCTGTTTGGTATAATTAAATTAGGGTTAGTCACCAGCAGGAGAAGTCCAACATTCTTAATTGCAAGCAACGTCCAGCCATACAATCAACAAAGTCAACACAAACGGAAAATCGTGGCAGATGCCTAATTGTCACTTTCAGAAACTATGACAGCAATTATCATAAACGGCGAACAGGGAGCCTAGTATCGTACAGCACGGCAATTTGCCTTTCGCTAAATGAAAGTTCTTTGGCCCCTTCGTTTTGCCGCTGCTATAGAGTTAATCATACGCACCGTTGAACCGCAGCCAATTCCATTACATGCTGCAATTTCAGTGCCAAGAGCACTAGCAAACACACCCACATCCACGGGAAAACAAGTACTTGCAGCGAAAAATATCTGTGGAAAAGCGAGTGGAAAATCGAGAATTGTCTTGGCTCGACCGTGAAATGTTTTGTAATAGGTTTAGGGTTATTTTCTATTTGTCGCGGGTGTTTTGCTCTAATGCATAACACATGTAAATAGACGGGAAAGCGTGTGAAATTAGCGTTTCAGCGTTTTACCAAAGAGGATTGACCCATTTCATCAGCAACTTTTCGCTTACGCTTTAATTACTCTGAATATGTGAATAGTAAGTACACCCATTACTTTGGAATTTTAATTTGTCCATTCAAACTTTTACCCTACTCACTTACTTACTTTACCCCACTTAACTACAATGAAATGTAAGTTTTAAAGCTTTTAAAAAGTTATAAAGTTTTAAGACTTCGACACAGAAATCTCTATTAATCACTTGAAAATGTGTTTTTAATTTTAATCGTGCTGCCGAAAATTATACAAACTTCTTAAATCAAATTTTGGGATGACAAATTATATTTGCTTATAAATCTCTACAGACTTAAACTAAAAGTGTATCTAATGGCGTGTTGTCAAAAGTTATGCCAACTTTTGAGATCTGGCTTTTGCACTTAAATACAAGCTAAACTCTATATTTAAGCCAACATTCAATCTTTTTGTTCTGTGACAAAATGTTCAATGTCATGACTTTCAAAGTCAAAACTTTCTTGGCTAATCTTTGGACTTTATTTGTAAAGCCCGCTTACTGCTGTTGTTAGGGGATATTATCTGGAACCTCATCGAAATTGGCTTTTCTTCAATTGTTCAAATGTGGAGAAAAAACTGCATAGTTTGAATTTCTTAATGCCCACAAGAAGGTGGCGACAATGGCAAACGACGCTGGCGAAAAAATTCAAAGCACGCGAAAATGCGTTTAGAAGTGGGCTCATCTTGGGTGGAAACAATTTGCCTGGGGTGCAGGAGTACAGGTGCGGTGTTCGGTGTTCCCCGGCATATATGCAAATTCAATCCTGAGCTTTCCCTCACACAGACACACACACACAAATAAAACAACCGCCCAGGGAAAACAACAAACAACTGCAGTGAGTTGCGGTGAGTGTGAGTGACAGCCTGGCAGACACCTTGTCAATGTCTTGCGGCTACGAATAACCCCGGTCCGCCCGGATTCCCGCACTCCGGAGACATTGCCACGCGTTGCCAAGGAATGTTAAGTACACTGAAATTGTTATTCATATTAGGGATTTTTTTTAGAATTTTACCTGTAAAATTGAAATTTTTCCAACCAAAAATACATGAAATAATTTTAAGCAAATCAAAACGAATCCAATACTTTTTGCAGGAAAACATTTAAATTTAATAGATAAATAGTTTTATTTAACTAAAAATTAGATTAAATTATTTTAATTATTTTGAATTTTATACCAAATAAAATAAGGGTATGATTTCAAATGAATAAAAACTATTCCATTATGAAAAGTTTTGTTAGAATGTGTCCGTAGTTCAACAATACAATATAATATCACTGCAGAAGTGATTTGAGCCTTACTCACAATTAAAAACATAAAATAAAGATATTTATTTGATAGGTACTAAAATGATAAGATTTTGTTCCGTGTAACAACAACTAAAAGTAATGCAAACAACAGCAACAATGACAACAGGCGAGGAGCAAGCCAAGTGGCAGCAACACAGCTGACTGACTACACATTTGCATACACTAAGGTGTATTTCTTTTTTTCTTTCATTGAAGGTGGCACAAGTTTAACACTGTTGCTGCTTTTGTTTTTGGGCCTTGAATGCGCCGCGGGCGTTGCTTTAATGAATGTGCAATGTTGATGCATTTCTTTGGCAAAATGTGAAGAACAAAAAAGTGTTGCATACTATTGTGCGCCTCAGGAGGACTGCCGGAATTTCCCGAGAAAAAGAATTAGCTTAGCTTAAAAAAGTCAAATTAGCATTTTCAACATTTTCATAAGCTTAAATATTCACACTTCGAAGTCGAAAAGTTATGACTGAACTAAAAATAACATATAAATCGTAAGGAAATGCTTTAAATGGCATATCAGGTGCAAATGCAATGTAAAGGGCTTAGTGCGCACATTTGAAACTAAATAAATTTATTCCAATCTACTCCAAACTAAAATAACACCCCTAAAACACCATAAATTTTGTGGTAAATAATGGCTTTGTAATCCTCTGAAAATTAATTCAAAGTGCAGCTTAAAATCTGTTCAGCAAAAGTCACATAATTCGATGAAAACTTTTTGGCGGAAAAGTTTCGACAGCTGTCATAAACTTTCTTTTTCAATTAAAGCATTAAAAAGAAGCGGTGAACTTAAATAATGCAATTTAATGACTTAATAAAAAATACTGCAAACTTTTTAATTACTGAATAGTAAAAATTATTTCAAATTAAATAATTCCTATTAAAAGCATTTAAAGGCTTATAAATCACTGACAATAGTGTTACATATTTATGTCAATTAAATCGGATATAAAAAGATTGATGGGTATGTCATGACTCAATCAAAAAGAGATTAAGCTGACTTAATTACAATTGGCGAAATAATCCATAAAAATGCTTATTTAATTAAGTCGCAATTCGGGGGGAGAACGGCCAGAAAACCACAGCACAATCAACACATTTCAACGGGCATTTCAAGCGCAGCTAATCCGTCGACAGTAAATTTTGGACAGCTTTCGCAGCCCAGACTCCAATTACCCGTCCGAAAATCGATTCCCTGCAGCTCTCCAACCGAAAGCGCCATAAATTGTAACGTCCTGTTCTGTGGACCAGATTTTCAGACTGCCTTCATAGATAACCATTTACGTTTGTTAATTATGTATGCAGGCTGGAAATGTTGGCCAAACAAGGAGCGTTGAAGGATATTTGGTCGGCTGAGGGGCCAAAGGAAGAGCACTGCAAATGCAGTGAAGCCCAAGAGCCCAAGAGGCAAATAAAGGCTCAAGAAGTTAAACCAGTCAGTTCAAGTATGTGCCATATAAACCATTCTAGCACACTTGTATTCAGGACCAGTGGTGTGTGAAGGATTACATTAAGAGGGACTTAGACTTTAAGAAGGGCGTTAGAAAATAATTTGATTCAGTTATCAGTAAGTAAGCTTACTTATATGATTATGTAGATATTAATAACGGGCTTAAGTTCTCTGATTTAATAATTAAGATCTTAAGATCCATCTAAGCCCCAACTAAGAAAATTCAGTTTAAGTGTAAGTAACAACTAGCAAAAAAACATTTTAATAAGTAAAACTTTTGAAAGTGTTTAGTAATACTTTTCAATATGTTTATTTTCGCACCTAAAGCCTCCAATTTTATAGGACACTTTTCTTTTTTTAGGAATATGACTTTTAGATTTTGTTAGTTGTTTTATGTACATAGATTTGTTATTTATTAATTTAAGGTTTAAGTTTCATGATGCAAATTTATATTATATTATATATGTTATATTATTTTATATTTCTATTCGAGTGCCATACTCACTAAAATGTTTCCAGTCCTAAGAAACCGTTTTGGAAAATTCCCAGTTAAAAATTAATTACCCAGCAAACTCATTAGCTTTTGTCTACATTTGTAACATACTTTTATTACTGTTACGATTCCAACCAAAAGGATTTAATCCCCCAAGTGCAATCCTTTTCTACACCACTGCCCAGGATAGCATGTTGCTCCAGTCTTCGTTTTGCCAACGTTTTGCCGACTCAATGCACACAGACTCGCAAAAACGGCTTGAGATTGTTGCCATGTCGAGGTGGTTTCGCTCAAATTTATTTAAATAGCAGAAGGACATGGGGAATCATGTGGTAGTGTGTGTGTGAGTGTGTGTGTGAGCGGATGATGCTCTTTGCGTGCCGCTGAGTGCGGGAAATTGAATTAAGTTTTCATTTAGGAAATAAGTTGTAGCTGCCACAGCATATACAAATTGCATTATTTATTGCACTTTGCAGAGGCGACCCCAAATAAACAATCATCACATAAATACGTAATCAACAAGCGGCCCCAAAAAAAGAGAAGCCTTGGCAGGCAGCCAAAGCCGCCAACCAACCAACCACCCACCCACCAGGCTGCACCACCCAACCACCCAGCCACCCACCGCAGCATGTAAGGCTCTGGGGGCGGGGGGAGTGGCACAGACACTTTGCGCGGAGGCGAAGCAAATGTGGGTGTGAAGCGATGTGAAGGCAAAACATTTTGCAATATTAAAGAACAGACGCGGGCAGAACGTGTACCTGTTGCTGACCATAAAGGCCATAAAGGACGATAGTGGAGTAGTGAGGGCGAGCGGTGAAAGGCCAGGTAAAAGGTGAAAGCCAAAAGCCCTGCACCGCAACCATGGCTGTAAATGTACTGGACTACGATCACTTCGCCATCAGCGCCATCGTGGTGGGCAGTCTGCAGCTGTTCTTTTTCCTGGTCAACTCCATGCTCCACATGGACAAGCTGACGGACTTTGCCGGCGGCGTCAACTTCATCATTATCTCCCTGCTGACGTTCTTCCTCGGCCAAATCGATCGTCCTTCGAAGGTAGGTGGAACTTATAAGTTTATTGAGGTTCTACGATATCGATTTTTTACTTAAATGCCTTACTTACTTACTACAAATTCAAGGTAAATTATAAGTGACAATTCTGCAAAGCTTTATAAAGAATCAGGTTCACCAATTAAAAACTTCAGCGAATCATACCCTGGCTTAATTCTGGTGCTCAGTTTAATGAGTAATTCTATAATTAAGTGAAGTTTAGCCATGTTTAGCCATTTTTAAACATTTTTGACAATTCTAAGAGGAACTATATCTCTAAAACTTAGATTTAAATGTTGATAAAAAGAAATTTGATTTTTAATGATTGCACAAATGTCTATTTAATTCTTTAAGTTATGAGCACGGAATTTCAAATCTTTTTGTCAAGCTTTCCATGGTATATTACAATTTTAAGGTCCCTTTTATATAAACCAAAACGTACTGGCATATATATACACCGAAATATTTTAAGAAATTTAATTAATTTAGTAACAGTAATCAGGGTTACAAAACACCAGGAATATAATCCAAAATTGGCATAATAAATTTACAATTTGGAATCTCAGCATATTATGATAATATGCCGTTAAAGCTATCTTCAATATTTTGTATACAGTTTTCAATTTTGTTATTTTTAAAATCGAAATAAATTAAAAAAACAAAAACGAAAAATGTAATCACTTTTGGAGACCGCTTTCAATAAATAAAGTTATGAGGCAAAACAAACACAATGACGCAAATATTACGTAGCTGACAAGGCTTTGTGAGGGACTTTACTATTTTATTGCTTTATTTTTTCCCACTGGCAGTAATAAATAAATGTTGAACAGCTACCAGTTTGGTCAAAAAAAATAAAGTGAACATTATTATTATTTAAAGCTCATTTATATTGTATCTGACACAGTAAAAGTAATTTATTGCTATATTTGAAAATTAACATAATTCATGAGCTATTTTGTATATTTGTTGTAGCTCGTTAGCTTGCAATGTATAGTAAGTTTTTAAGTAAAATTAAATTCTTCGAACTTGAAGCGTGACCATAAACATTTCATCCAACTGGGCGTGAACGGGCTGCTGCAGTGGGTGGTGGTTCATGGTGGGTGTACGGTGGTTACAAAGTGGGTGGCTGGTTTCGAATGCTGACATTGAAAACTGAGTTTTGCATACGCACGCAGATACAGACATCAACGCATACAGACGCAAACATCCATTGCCGACAAACAAAAGGTTACGCCCATCGAGGCCCACATTTCAGCCGTTGTTTCTCTTTGTTGGCTGTTGTTCCATTTGTTTTTGTTTTTGTTTTTCCGTAGTTTGTAGTTGCTGTAGCTGCTGTCGCCTGTAGCTCGTGGGCCTCCTTCTGGCTGAGCATGACCTTGGCATCGTGAGGGTCCTCGATCTGTCTGTCGACATGTCCTTCCGCCAGCCTAACACACTGCCTAACCAGCTAACTAAAGCTATTTGGGGGCATCCCATAACCCACGGCAACCAATCCACTGCCTCTGCAGGATAGTCCACAATTTTCAATTAATTAATCCAACTTGATGGCCAATTTCGTAATTATCCCCTTTATCAGCACGCTGGTGTTTACCTTGGTAAAAGCAAATTGCAATTTTCGTATTTACATTTTGAAGTTTCCTGTCATACTTAATAAGTCTTGTTGTAAAAATCTGCATTCAAATTGGACTTATAGAGTCCATAACTTTACCACATACTTGTGGATAGAATCTCCAAAAATCTTTCTTATTTTACTGTTGATACATTTTTTCACCCATTTTCATGTTGGTTATTAGTTAGTTTCCGATGAAACAACTTAACTTCCAGAATCCATCACTTTACCAAAATAAATCCGATTTCAGAGTGAAATACCTCTTAAGACTGGTGGTTTGATTCTCCAAGAATCTGCATTTAAATTTGTCATTAAAACGTTGATAAATTTTTTTACCCATTAGAGCTATGAACTATTAAACTATTTTATTTGATGTGTATAAAAACAATACTACATACCAATGTCTTTTAAATAATGACACTGGTCGTGTCTTGCATTTTAATTAGCACATTATTTCATAAGAGGCTTTTGCTTATCTTTAATGCTGACACATTTAAACCCCAGGCTCTTAAAATATAATTACTTTAGACATTATCAATTCATTAAAATATATTCGAAAGATTTTAATTATAATTACCCTAATTATTAAATGAAATGTGACAGAAGAGTGCATTTTAAAGACAGAAAATATATGTGTTTCAATTTTCAGTGCCCGACTATCGTAATTATTGGCATTACAGGACGTTGATTATCTTGTGTTAAAATTAATATAAAACATAACCCTATTGAAAACCTCTTCGAGAGAGCTTTATAAAGATTTATTAATAATAATAATTGAAATTTGATAAGATAAAAGGGAAATTGCCAACAAAGCCCGTAAAAGCTTTTTGTTCCAGTTACCGGTTTTGACTGCCCCTCAATGTATCGATTTACTGAATGGCCCATGAACGCTTGTTAAGGGCTTATAACGAACAATTCGCACAACCGAAACAAATTGAGAAATAAATTCTTACTTATCTGCGGTCGGGTTTTTGCTGGGCAAACAAACCGGTGTGCAAAACAAACAATCAAGAGAATAGCAATCTTTTCTAGCCCACACCCAGTTATGCAGATTTAATTTTTACTCCCACACTTGTGTTTGTCACACGTGTGCAAAATAAACAAAGAATTCAATGGCAAAGTATTAAATCTCATCGACCACGCAAACTGACGTTCAATTAATTTTTGCTCTGACATTTTTGTGGCAATAAAGAATTGGCTATCGATCGTAAATTAAAATGAAATTTCTCTCAGCGCGCATTAAGTTAGCAATGAAAATGTTTTTAAAGCCATGCCGCGAAGAGGAGACCGCCGGAAAATGGCGGTCGTGGGACGTTGGGCGGAAACGGAAGTGCTGCCATTGCTTGTGGCTGTGTGTTGCTTGTCGTGCAATATTGCACTATGCACTGCAGCTGTGTGACGGCCATAAAAATGGTTTACTGCCGCCGAACGCAGTCGTCTGTCGATGCTTTATCGTCGTTCAGTCTCGCTTAATAAATCGAGCGATAAAATAGCTTAAGTCTCGGGTGAAAGGCAGCTCAATCAGACTACAAAATAGGCAATCAGGCCCGCCCGTTGCGATACGGCAAACCCATTAAACTATCAACGGAGGGTGGGCCCTCAATATCCATATCCTCCCAGCCGTTTATCCATGACCTCGTCCTGCCTGTGCCTTCCAGTGACTTTGGCTGGCGGTTACGGTCATGAGCCGCCAATTCACTGCCATTGACAAAGCAATTTAACAATTTTTTTATCCTGCATTTTTCATGAGTCGTTTGACGAAGGAGCGGCGGGGCGCTCCTTAATGCCCAATGCATTTCTGATTCAGTTCGCCCGTCAATGCCGTTTATAAATATGCAAAGTGCAGTCGACTCATTCATTATTGACCCTCGCCCGACTGCCCCGTGGCCACTTTTGGCAGGGCGGAGCATAGAACCGCTGCCACTCGTGCGTGCACCGCTTTATTTATGCAAAATTTGCATGACCACCGAAAGTGGTTTTGTAAAATAAAATATCAAAAAAAAAATATACGAAAAAAAGTTCTCCTCTGACGCTGCAAAAATGAAAATTCGTGCAAATTGCTCGTTGGGCAATGAATTTTTGTACGTTCCGTGGTGCGGAGACGAATTGCAAGATACCCTGGTTGAGCTAAAATGGCTGTGTTATGGTGAAGATACTAAAATAGTTACGAGTGTGGCTTCCTGATACAAGGATATAAGGCGGCTCAGCCTTGAACTCGAACTTTCGCCGAGCCTCCCGCAATTGCCCCAAGAGTATATCTCATTCGGCAAATGGCAAACAATAAATGTTTATTGCAATGCGGACACGATACGACCACACTCGGCAGTTTATAGCCCAAAAATATCTTTTAATGGTTGGAGCATAGCCTAAGTATTCAAAAACTTGCTCTTTAAAGCTTTCTTTGATTAAAAGAATGCTATTATTCTTTCGTAAATGAGCTGAAGTTCAATTTTTAGTAAGACATTTGGTATTTCTCATTTCGTTAACCAAAGAAAAATGAAAAACGCTTTATTTATAAGGCTTTAAGTGTGTTAATTATTCAAATTTAACTTACATAATTCATTCCTAAGAATAGATTAAACTTTAAAAAGTAGAATCATTATAAATTCCATTCTGAAGACTTACCTAAGCTATTTAAAATAAATTTACTATTTAAAAAAACTAATACCTATATTTTTTTAATAAGGACTTTAATCTAAGTTAAATATGCTTTACAATAAAAATACATTCTACCATACTTAAATTTAAAAACGATACATTTTTTAAGCTATAGCGGTTTAAGCGGTTTTTCTTTAAGTTCCAGTGATATAACTGGTATTTTCAACTAGATTTTTTGTAGTGTAAAATTAAGTTTAATTAAATGAATTTAATACCCAATTTCAGGCCTATGACAGTCGCCAGCTGATGGTGACGCTGTTTGTTTGCTTGTGGGGCGCCCGGCTGTCCGGATATTTGCTATATCGCATTATAAAGTTGGGCCGCGACAAGCAGTTCGAGGATACCCGCCGCAACATCATCCGCTACGCGGTCTTCTGGACCTTCCAGGTGAGTTCGGGCCAATCGGTTGCGTCAGCCACATTTCAATTCGACTCTCAATGAGAGAACCTTCAACTTGGAGGTGGAAAATCAATCAAGCTGTCACTAATTGACACGTGCGCAAAGGTTTTGAATATTTCATATTTCAGCACCTGTCGTTTGCCCCACATGGGTGGCAGCAATGGTAATCTCGATGTGGCATGCCCCAGACCAGACCATGCCCACACCGACCAACAATTAAAACGCCATTCTCTGTGGCAGAGTGACATGACACATGTGGGCGACACCAGCTAAATGTTGAGTGGGTGTTTCTGTGGGTGGTGGTGGTGGCTTGCTGCAAGTGGGTGGTGGCAGGCTGTCCGGCCTTCATTGTCTGTGGTGCTCCCGGCATTGGCGTGCTGCAAGTGCCATGTCCCGCCATCGTTTTGTCTCCATTTATTTCCCATTTCGCCTGAATTCCAATCACTTGTTGCCAGTTGAAATTCTGTCATTGAAATCGGAAAATAACTGCCAAAATGATCACAATCGCATGTACTTCACTATATTAAGCTTTAACAGAAGAAACTTTAACATGAAAATGTTTCTAAATGCGATGATTTAATGATTTGAGAACATTTATTTGAAATTATTGGTATATGTTTTGTGGCTTCCTTGATGAGCATATCAGATTCATTATTTGATCTTATTTTAAGTGTTTTTTTATTTTGTAAAATGATATCAAATTTTATAGAAGTAACTAATTAGTTATCTCTTTACCTAGTAATATCTAGCAATAAAACTAATATTACTTAAAATGGAAACCTAATATAATATTATCATTTAACATTCAAAGCAAATATAATGTAATTGTACTTAATGTAAATATAATTGTTTCTATTTACTCAATTATTTTCCTTTTAGGCCGTGTGGGTGTACATAGTGTCACTGCCTGTAATAATCATTAATTCACCGCGGCACTCGCAACCGCTGGCCCCAAAGACGATGACCACACTGGACTCCACGGGAACGGGTATGTTCATCGTTGGATTGCTGGCGGAGACCTATGCGGATCTGCAGAAGTTCTCGTTCCGACAGGATCCTGCCAACCAGGGTAAATTCTGCAATGATGGTAGGCCAAGGGTGATACATACTAACAAGGATAAGCTCTAATGAGTAATCTCTACCAGGTCTGTGGAGCGTATCACGGCATCCTAACTACTTTGGCGAAGTGGTCATCTGGTGGGGCATCTTTGCCATATCCCTCAATGTGATCAGCGGCCATGAATGGGTGGCGATTGCCTCACCCATTTTCACCACTATGATTATTCTCTTTTTGTCAGGGATTCCCTTGCGGGAACGAAGTGCAGATGAAAAGTACAAAGAGTAAGTTGCTTTATTTGATATTTATAATATTAATTAATATTAAAAAAACAAATACAAACACATACATGCCTTATAAAGTGAAGTGAAATAAATAATTACCTTATAAGATAATATATTGAATTAGGTTTTTAATATCTTTCTAATACCTTATAATAATATTGCCCTAAAGTGAATTTTGAATAGACATCAGATTATAAGCAATAGAATAGAATCTAAACATTCGATTTCAAGCTAACTTTGATCAATTAAAACTTTTGTAATACTATACTTGAATGAAAACATTCCTATCCAATCAAAGTTTTCTTGGAATTTGCATTTAAGGTTTTTCATATAGTCCAATGTCCACTCTTAAAAAACTTATAGATCTGTCTGCTATTTAAAGACACAATAAATTTAATATTCCCACCTGCTCCGTTCAGCCAGCTGGAGTACCGGAAGTACAAGGCCTCGACCTCGCCGCTGATCCCAGTGCCACCTGCCGTCTACGTGGAGGTGCCCAGTGCCCTGAAGTTCATCCTGTGCTGCGAGTTCCCCATCTACGACTCGATGCGGATCCAGAAGGACCTCAGTCCGTACTCGCTGTCCATAGCGCGCTCCCACTCGCACATCTAGCAGTCAGTGGCCCACTCCGGCAGTGCGACGGCTGGCGTGGGTCAACTGACCGCCCACTCGACGGGCCACTCGGTGGGTCACTCGCTGCACCGGGGCCAGTGCTATGGGGCCAATGGCGGGGATGCCGAGAGCCACCAGAACTGCGGCGGAAGCTGCCGCAACGTGCACGTCAAGTCGAATCCGTACCAGTGCGAGGCGGGCTACGGCCACTATCCGGTGTGCCACACGGACGACGACACGGATGACGGGATCATCTACATGGACCGCTCCACCCACATCTACCACGAGCAGGAGGGCCCACTGGTGAAGGCGGCCAGCACCAAGTGCAGCTACCTGGCCGAGGAGGAGCTGGCCTCCGACTACGATGAGGATGTGCCGGCCATCGATCTCAGCAAGGCCACCAGCGTGGAGACCTTCGGCACCAGGGTGCAGTCGGAGCAGGCCGTGAATGCCGATGGTTTGCCCGTGACCGTGACCACGATTTTGTGATTGCCACTTTAAGATTGGTTCTCATACGGATCGGGTTTTTATATTGGATGTACAACGGGGTGGACCTCTGTTAGCTGAGGTTTTAAGTCTTTGAAATTGAAATTTCTAGAAAATGTGGAAGGTCAAATTACCGCAACATCATCACTCATACGACAGGTAGTCCCGATACAAAAGTATTTGCTGGGGTTTATTGATCAGTAATTTGGATTCTTTTTATCAATCCAGATCTTGTTCGTATGAGTGATGTTTATGATAACAATTTATTCACCAGACATACTCTAAAGGTCGTTTTAAATTCTAAAGAGTTTGATGTTTAACAATATTTCGATGGGTGAATTTCGGTGATTAGAATTATAGATAACTTACTTTCTAAGAGCTTTTAGATCAAAACGACAGTTTCCACAAATAACAAACCATACTTTTCGAAGCCCAGGGCCAATGTTCTTGTAAATAATATGGGTGACCAAAAACTAAATGAATATGGGTTTGCAACCCCAAAGCGAAATGAAACCTGAAAGATACTACCTTAAAATTATTTTATTCAACTATGCTCCACCCTTTTGTACATAATTAAAGCTGGGGATTGCAAAAATACCGTATAGTACCGAAAGCATCTTGGATACCCACAGCTGTCTAACACTATAGTCTTTACGCTATTGTTGCTCAAATAACTAATGTGCCTCTTATGTGCTCTGCGCACCCTTAGATTGTTGCACTCCTTCAAAGTTTACGCTAGTCTCTGTTGAACTCTCGTTGCTCCGCGACAAATGTTGCCCCCAGATCAAGAATGGAATACAATTATATCTATATCTCTACAGCATATGTATTTTCTTATCGAACCGCAAACCACACCCCACCAAACAAAGGGAATCGAATCTGAAGCCATTTAAACTGAAACATATCCCAAGGCAACGGCAAACCAACCAAAGGTTGGATCACGATAGAGAGTATGTTCGATAGCCATTGTTATTTTATATACTGGAATATCTACTCGTAGTAGCTAAAGAGAAATATACCCCATGTTACCAAAAATGTTCTCGGTAAGTGTACGTGTCTGTGTCTAGTTTGTGTCTCAAATGTTAAGCAGTATTACCTTATGAACGAATTGTACCTAAATGATTATGCTGAGTATGGAAAATAATAAACGAAACTAAAGAAAATGGTGTTTAAATTGTTTTAGATTTGGAAAAGGCTTTCTTTTATTTTATCTTTCAAGCTTATAATATTATGTATTTTTGAATGCTGAAAAAATTGGTAAGACTTGTTTACCTGTTACCTAACTGGGCAACTTAAACAGATCAGAAAAATTAGTTATGTCAGCAGCACATAATAAATATAAATTATAGAAAAATTATACAAATTGAGCCTAAGGAAAATTAAATTTCACAACAAAACTAATCATTTTTATAGAAACTCCAAGTTATGGAAGTTCAACTGAATTTTTATTTAATATTGTTGTGCCTTACGATTGTAATGTTCTTGGGTAAAAAAAACAAATACGCTTCTAATTAATTCCTTAAAAAGTTTTGCTAACATTTTTTTGTGCTAAAGTTATTCTAAAGACTTTTCCTGGAGCCCCAATTAGTCCGCGTAGGCTATGCAAATCTCGATGAGATGGCTCTGACGCATCCGTCACCCGACTTCCCGTTCCACTTGCTACCCGACCCCATGCCAGCCCCCATAGATTCAGTATCCGTGATCATCTCGTAGAGTACACAACTCAGCAAAAAAAATTTATTGTAAAAAAATTGCCTGTAATAGTACTAGATTTATTTTAGATTTGTTATTTTAAATTTCCATTGTATTGGATACTAAATTTTAAGAGAGTTAAATTCTTAGTTAATTCTTTCGGAATACAAACTTAATTTTTTTTGGAGGGGTACTTGCGTGTGAGGAAGTGCAAGGGCAATGTTTCGTAAATCGCGTCAGCTGCTCTTCCGGATCTGCAGCCGGTCGTCCTTGAGCCGCCAGTATGCTCCCAAGGTCGTCAGGCGATCCTACGCCTCGCAGGCCATCAACCAGATGCTGTTGCTCCAGCAGATGGACATCTGCGCGGACCAGCCCTCTCGGGCTTTGGTCATAGGAGTCTATGCGGACGAGGAGGACAAGAACGACGCCGGCATCCTGACGCCCGCCGGCTGGCGCTACAATCTCCAAAAGACCAATGGCCGGCTAATCGAGGTGCTCCGCATGTCGGGACCCATGCCCAGGAGGGGCGAGGCCCGTCTGCTGTTCGCCGTGGAGCCGGAACGTATTCCCTACTACTCGGTGGTGGCCGTCGTGGGCCTGGGCAAGGAGTGTCTGGGCTACAATCCCTACGAGGTCCTGGACGAACAGAAGGAGGCCATCCGCCGATCGGTGGCCGCTGCCTGCAGGATTCTCGCCGAACTGGACACCGACCGAATCGAGGTGGAGAACTGTGGCCACGCCGAGTCTGCTGCCGAGGGAGCTGCCCTTGGTATCTGGCTGTACCAGGAGCTGCGCGATCCTAAGACCCGAATCTTCGTCCCGGCCATCGATTTGTACGCCACCAAGGACGAGGTTTGCGACATCGAAGGATGGCGCATTGGGCTTCAAAAGGCTGCCGCGCAGAACCTGACCCGCCAGCTGCAGGAGATGCCCTCCAACCTTTTGACCCCCACTGCCTTTGCCCAGAATGTCGTCGAGGTGCTCTGTAAATCCGGTGTGAACGTGGAGGTCAAGGTCGAGGGCTGGGCGGAGAGCCAGTCGATGCACGCCTTCCTGGCGGTCGGAAAGGCCTCCTGCGAGCCTCCCATCTTCCTGGAACTGAGCTACTACGGCACCTGTGCCGAGGAGCGACCCATCGTCCTGGTTGGCCAGGGCATCACCTACGATGCCGGCGGTCTGTGCCTGAAGAAAAAGCACGAGCTCTTCCACATGCGCGGCGACATGACCGGAGCGGCTGTGGTGGTGGCCACTTGTCGGGCTGTGGCCGGACTAAGATTGCCAGTAAGTCACTTTTGTATCCTAAAGATTGCCCCTGTTAATCTCATCTCGTTCGCAGGTCAACATCCGCGGACTGATCCCCCTCTGCGAGAACGTAGTTGGCTGCAACTCCTTCCGTCCGGGTGACATGGTGAAGTCCATGAACGGCAAGACCATCGAAGTCCAGTGTACAGATCACGAGGATGTCCTCGTGCTGGCCGATGCCTTGCTGTATGCCCAGAACTTCTGCCCCAAGTGCATCATCGACATCGGCACCTGCTCCGGTTACATGCGTCAATCCCTGGATGAGGCGGCCTGTGGAGTGTTTACCAACTCAGAGATCCTGTGGCAGCAGATCAAGCACGCCAGTATGCACACTGGGGATCGCGTGTGGCGCTTCCCCCTGTGGCACTACTATACCAAGGCGGTGCGTGCCGGAGGACGCAGTGATGTCCAGAACTACGGCATTGGCCGTGGAGGTCGTCCTTGCAAGGCCGCCGCTTTCCTGCGAGAATTCGTGCCCTGCGGCCAGTGGATGCACATCGTGAGTTTGGTTCTTAAATAATTGTCAGGACTTGCCATAATCCCCTTTTTCCCTCCAGGACGCCACCAATGTGATGGTCACCAACGGAATCGACTTCGAGTACCTGCGTCGTGGAATGGCCGGCCGACCCACGCGCACCCTTATCGAGTTCATCGCCCAGACAATCTGCAAGGACACCGCTCCCAAGATGGGCAAATAGGCAGAGAGTTTAGGGGAAGAGCAGCTGACCGAAGATGGCCAAATCCCAAAGGCAGTAGCAGCGTTTACACCACGTCCACATTTTGGTGAAATATTTTGAAGTCTGTTCAGGGTGGATGTCTTAAGTCAGTATGTGCAAGTCCCTTCACAGTTGCAAACGAGATTGTTCCCAGGCCAAAAAAATTGTTTGTTCGTTTTAAGTTATCTACGAGTATTAAATAAATTATCTTTCGAATTGAATAAAATATCTTAAATATATTGGGCTTGTGTGATAATCCGAAAATACAAGGAAGAATGTGTATTTAAGGAAGCTTCCATGGTCAACCCTGGTTTATCTAAGCTTTCTCTTTTCTGTTGTAATTTGGCGACCCATTAAATATCAAGTTTCAATTATCATTAAAGGGTGTCGTCCATTAATAAATTGATCAGGTACAAAAGACTGATCTTTGAAATTAAAATATATGTTCCTAAAAATGTTTAAAACATTTCCGAAGTCAATGTATTTTTGTGAAAAATTTAACGTCAAAAAGGTTTTAGAAGGTATTATTTTTGAGTGGTTTTGAATATTTCCAAGATGATTAATTGAGATAATATTGGCATTGGCGAGACACGAATTTGTACCACTGTGTACGCCGCAGCAGGCATGGTCTGATTAAGTTTTCAGACCCTACAGTCTTATAAATCTAGCAACCTTTCAGATCCTGCTGTCAGTGCCACGTCGAAGAGGGGCCACATAGCACCAGCTCAGTATCATTTTTATTCGTTTCGAGGTTGAACACGTACACATTTTTAGCTAATCTGGGTGAAAAATTCTATGAATTATTTTAAGGCGGCACAGCAAATCGAAGTGCAAGTTTTCAATCTAAGTAGTATCCTTTTGCATTAATCAAAGTTATCAGTTCAACTTCAAGCAAAATGTTTCGTTTTTCGCGCAATGCAATGTCCCGAGCCTGCAGCCTCGTAATCCGCCGGCCGGAGGTGATCCGCCATCGCAGGCACGCCTCGCAGGCGATCAACCAGATGCTCCAGCTGCAGCAGATGGAGATCTGCGCAGATCCTCCGTCGCGCGGCCTTGTCGTGGGCGTCTACGCCGACGAGGAGGACAAGAACGACGCCGGCATCCTGACGCCCACCGGCTGGAGGTACAATGTGCAGAAGACGCACGGCCGGTTGCTGGAGGTGCTCCGGATGTCCGGACCCATGCCCAAAAGGGGCGAGACCCGCCTCCTGTTCGCCGTGGAGCCGGAACGGGTGCCCTACTACTCGGCGGTGGCGGTCATCGGGCTTGGCAAGGAGTGCCTGGGCTACAATCCCTACGAGGTCCTGGACGAGCAGAAGGAAGCCATTCGGCGATCGGTGGCGGATGCCTGCAGGATACTCGCCGAGCTGGACACCGACCGCATCGAGGTGGAGAACTGTGGCCACGCCGAATCAGCCGCGGAGGGAGCTGCTCTGGGGATTTGGATCTACCAGGAGCTGAGGGATCCCAAGCGGCGGGTGTCGGTGCCCTCCATTGACCTGTTTGCCACCAAGGACGAGATTTGCGACATCGAAGGATGGCGCATAGGACTTCAAAAGGCTGCCGCCCAAAACCTGACCCGCCAACTGCAAGAGATGCCCTCCAACCTTTTGACCCCCACTGCCTTTGCCCAGAATGTCGTCGAGGTGCTCTGTAAATCCGGTGTGAACGTGGAGGTCAAGGTCGAGGGCTGGGCGGAGAGCCAGTCGATGCACGCCTTCCTGGCGGTGGGCAAGGCCTCCTGCGAGCCTCCCATCTTCCTGGAACTAAGCTACTACGGCACCTGTGCCGAGGAACGACCCATCGTCCTGGTTGGGCAGGGAGTGACCTACGATGCGGGTGGCTTGTGCCTGAAGGAGAAGCAGGAGCTCTTCCACATGCGGGGCGACATGACGGGAGCAGCAGTGGTTGTGGCCACTTGCCGAGCTGTGGCTGGACTTAGGTTGCCAGTAAGTAGTTTTCTTTAGTTTAGGTATTTCCTGCATTAGTAATCCCGCTCTTAGGTCAACATCCGCGGTCTGATACCCCTGTGCGAGAATGTTATCGGATGCAACTCCTTCCGTCCAGGTGACATGGTGAAGTCCATGAACGGCAAGACCATTGAGGTTCAGTGCACGGATCACGAGGATGTACTCGTGCTGGCGGATGCCCTGCTTTACGGGCAGAACTTCTGTCCCAAGTGCATCATCGACATTGGCACTTGCTCGGGATATATGCGCCAGGCGTTGGATGAGGCGGCCTGTGGAGTGTTCACCAACTCTGAGATCCTGTGGCAGCAGATCAAGCACGCCAGTATGCACACCGGAGATCGCGTGTGGCGCTTCCCCCTGTGGAACTACTACAGCAAGGCGGTGCGAGCCGGAGGGCGCAGTGATGTCCAGAACTACGGCATTGGCCGTGGAGGTCGTCCTTGCAAGGCCGCCGCTTTCCTGCGGGAATTCGTACCTTGCGGACAGTGGATGCATATTGTGAGTTAAGAAATAGTAAGCCATTAGGCTTGAATTTAATGATAATTTTTCCCGCAGGACGCCACTAATGTGATGATCACTCGCGGCGACGAGTTCGAGTATCTGCGACAGGGCATGGCCGGACGGCCCACAAGGACACTCATCGAGTTTATTGCGCAGTCTATATGCAAGGATACGGCTCCCAAGCTAAACAAGTGATCCTTCGAACGGTGTTTACTAGTTTTATCTGACGATGCCACATGTACATCGGTGTTCTTTTAACGACTGACCAACCTATGACTTCATTAACGTTCAGACGTTTATCTAATTGGGACCACAATATGTTAAAATTATTGCGTTTATTAATGACATACAAATTATAAGTCATATATAAAAGTAACGATACGTGTATATTTATTAGATTTCCTGTAAAGGTGCGTTTCGAAGATCGGGGCTAACTATAATGTAGTTGATTGCTTGATTCTTTCTTGCCATCGATAACTATAGTGCTTTGCAAGCATTTGGGCATTAGGATATTTTCTCGGACGTCTGCTACGCCAACGACCCGGCATGAGTAATCACAACATTAATATCAATGGGTGGATAGTTTTGCAGCAGCTTCACATTCGAGGCAAAGTCGTTTTCCAAAATGGCTTCTCTTTGGATTCTGCAAAATAAATAAAATCAGTGTTTGCTTTCCATTACATACTCCATTTTCATACAATATCATGGAACAGCATATTTTGATGAGAAAATCGAAGCGCTGCTCATCCGCAAACACGGAATCCCAAATGCGCAGCACATCCGGCAGTGGAAACTCCTGCGAGAGGAGCAGTGTGAGCCATCTAAAGCTGTAGTACTGTGGATGCAGCTCCTGGCTCTTGAGCAGCTCGTATATGTTAAGGTCCTTAGATTTTAGCATATTCGATAGTCTGGCCATCATGAACTTGATGCCACCTTCTGCATCGTCCAGAGTTTTAATGAAAAAATCACGGATCTCGCTCATCAGTGCGGTGAAACAGAAGAAACAATCTGCCTCGGCGTGGGTACGATATGATAGATCCGGATCCGAGGCCATTACGTAGTAGATGGGTCCCACGATCTCGTTCATGCCCTGGACATATCCCTGGCCGGGATTGAGCTTGGCGTATATGAACAAAATACGTTGCACAACCTCCCAGTGGGCCTCCTGACCCTCTTCCATGGCGGCATAGTTCTCCACAGAGCGTTTAGTGATCAGGTTTATCTGTAGAAAGCAAGAAGCCAATTAGACCTGAGGTAAGTTGATGTCCGCTTACTTACTTGCTGCTATAGTCCAAATGGTATGCATAATATAACACACTTTGAGCTTATTGTCTAGCACATATCCGGTATGAAACTCACCTTGGTCATGCCCAGGCCCTTGCGTTCAACATTCGCCGAGCTGAGCACGGTTGGAACAACTCGTTCGTGCAGCCTCCGTCCATGTTCTCCCTTGCTGTGGACCACAATCTCACAAGGATACTCCGTGGGTTGCTGGAAGAAGGATATGTCCGGGCACAGACGTCGCACATCCTTGTCGATCTGCAACAGGAACTCGTTGTCGTTGAAGAAGGTGTTCCATCGGCTTTCGGGTCCCTCGCTTAGCGGATGATCTTGCAGGCCAACGCCCACCGAGTTGACTTTGTCCCCGTCACCTTCGTCTGCTCCACCTCCATTGATCGAGTGACCAGGCGGCAGGACTAGCTCCTCAATGAACTGCTTGTACAGGGCACGCTTCTGAGCCAAAGTCGATGTCCAACTGCTGCGCTTGGGGCCCAAATAACCCAATAGAAGTTTCCAACTGAGGGCTCGAAAACTCTGTACATCGGGCACACCTGTGGATTGTTGGGAATGTAGTTTCTAGCACTTTTCAAAGGCTGTAAATTCGATTATACCATTAAATGCAAGTTGCCGTAGTTGCTTCAAGTCAACCACATCCTGTGGAGCCGCCAAAACATCCTCAAATTCCTTGACTCTGCGATGTGGGTGGAGAAAGTCATTGTTTATTGGCACCTTGGGATTGGATTAAGAATGAGTACATACCGCGCCTTGAAAATAGACATGTTGTGGCTTATGTGGTCGAGGCTTTTTCGTTGGGTCCATGCAGTACCCCTATGTATATTTAACTAATGCTTTATCTTCTTTAAATGCTGGGAGAAACTCGTAGATAAACACAACAAAAAACAACAACGAATAGCTAGAGGTGGACGTGGTTGTTAATTAAACATCGATTGTTGCTCGCGCCCATCGATAATTGCTACCAGTGGAGCAGATGAAAGTCTGGCAACTCTAGTTAGTTTAAATTTTCTAGGGGAACCCCAGGTATTTCTCTCAAAAAACAAAAGTCCTCAATACTTAATTTTTAAATTCCTTTTAAGTTTCTTAATTTTAAAAGAATACGTTAAATTATTTTTAATTTTGTAGTGTGTGTGTTAAGTCTATAACCTTTATAAACCCATAGATATTAAATTTACAGTTCGATCCTACTCCAATTTGTCATTAGATTTTCTTTAAATTAATTTAAGATTTCGGAGCTGCCAGATCGTGCTTAATCGTTTAAAAACCAATGCTGCCTATCCTGCATAATGGCGCCACTGTTTAAATTGCAAACTCAATTTGAGAATTTATACATATGATTTGGTTTTAAGACAAGTTTAAATTACTATGTTAACCTAGTTAATAATGCAAGGCTCACCAACGATTCGTTCATATTTGCCTGCCCTGCACTTATTCGCATGCCTTTCGAGTGATTAATTTTTTGTTTGTGCACAGTTCCTCTGGCATTTCGTGGGCTTTTATTTGATTTTTCAATTGCCTAGTAGTGAACACACACACGCCGCCGTGAGCAGACTCGTTCGAATAGTATAATTTAGCGCACATTTCTGAATGTGCGGAGCATTTCTTTTGTTTACGCTAGTCGCTGGCCAGCAATGACGACCAGCAGATCAGCGGCGTCCGCGTCATACAGGCGACCGGCTTTCTGGAAGGTGCCCGGTTACGAATTGCCATCATCCTACTACCGCCCACAGCCACCCCTTAGTCCGCCCCATGTGCCGCTGCCACCCCCTTGCCGACGGCGCAGCAGCAGCGGACTGAAGAAGCGCGTCCGTTTCGCCGACGAACCAAATGTGGGGGTGAGTCCAAGACCCCAGAAAAAGAAGACCAAACGCAAACCCCCCCCTTAAATCGCTCGGCTTGTCAATCATCGCACGTGTGTGTTCTCGTATTCGTGGCCCCAATTCACACCAGGCCGTCTCAGAAATCAGTTCAATAACATTTCGCCCCTGGCTGCTCGTAAATTTGTCAAGCCAAATCTAATTAATTGGCCACTGCTGCACTTTTCGTGGAAAAAAATCAAATGGCCCAAAAAGATAGATGGAATCTATTTTTCCATTGCCACCAAATTGACGCAATTCGCAATGCAATCCGTTAAGATATTCGTATGATTTAGAGCCCCCTCAAGGCTGATCTGGGGTAAAAGTCACACAAAACCATTACACAAATTCCAACTGAAAATGAAATGAAAACAATTCAAGCCGCAAATAGTACAAACATTTCAAGAACCAGCCAAAAAGTGCCGAAAACAGAATATATAAAATGAAAAATGAAATGGCAAACCATATATTGTGTATAACAGCGGAAAGCCGAAAGGCAGGAAAAGATCTTTCCGTTGTAAAAAGTAAAACTGCTGCCAAAAACGAGAGGCAGACGGAATATTTAGAAACAAATCAACGTCCTTCAACCGTTGACCCATGCACATTGCTTATACGTCACGTTGAACGTAGACTTTTCCATTGACTAATGCGTTAAAAATCTGATATGATTAGTCTGTTTAAATTGGGCAAGAGTGGCGAATTTGTTGCTGTTGTGTTAGGATCGCCTCAGTAAATAAATTTAATTATACTCTCTCGGTTGCCTCATCTGGGCAAAAAAAAGCAAACACTAATAAAATAGCTGCAAATGTCGAAGGAAAACAGATGCCTAGATATTTGATTTTTTCCCAACATCAGACGAGCTCATCAAAACGCTTGCCTAGATGATGACATGTGGCATTCATTTCTTCAGGGTCAGCTTGCAAACTGGATCAAGTGCTGCCCTAAAATGTGGTCAACGAAATGCAGAATGTCTGAAATGCAGGGCACAAGCCAAATTAAACAATGAGAACAATGAGGGAAAACACGTTTTTATGTATGTGGTTTTTGCATACACTATGTTAGATAAAATATTTATTGGTTAATAAGATAAGAGGATTTCTTTAGTAGCAAATTAATATATAATGTTCCAACCCTGCGTATGCGCAATTTGCTTCCAAGCCACTTATCAAGTATACGACATGTTAGCTTTTATGAAATTTAAGTCCCGACTTTTCTTGAATATTCGACAACCTCTCTGAGAAATTCAGAGCACTCTTTGCTGAAAACCCATTTAGCGATTAGGATTCGCCAATCGAATTCATGTTTCTCAGCATGTAGTCGCCGTTGCCGGCGGATATAAGTTGTATATATGTACGATGTACACTTGTGGCGCAGTGTACTCGTGGTATACCAAGATTTTGCTGCTGCTGCTGCTGCTGCAAAAAGGAATACAATTCGTATTTTAAAATTAGTACTTGAGCAGCTTTGCGATCGAACAAAACGCTTAACGGACTGCAATTTCGCGCCGCCTGCGCCTCGCAGGCCAGATAAATAAACAAAATACATTTTCGGTATACTCCACGCTCGATTGGATGAGCCAGTGATCCGGTATCATTGGATGATCGCTTCAGGATGAGCCCCAAGCTGCATGAGTTCGCGGTGGTGCTGCTGCGGGATGGCCAGGGCACGCCCTGGGGCATCCGTTTGGTGGGCGGCAACGATCTGGATACGCCGCTAATAATTACAAGGGTGGGTAATAGGCGTTATGTAACCAGAGATGTGCCGCCACTCTTTTGTGTCGCCTTGTGGTCGCTTGTGGTCCATTCATCAAAATGATGCACAATGGCGAAATGGCAGAGGAAAAGCGATTTGGCCTTTGCTGCCCCGCTCCGCTTTTTGTTTTTTTTTCTCTCAGCACCCAAATAAACAACAACAAATCAAAATAGCGAAACGGGCACAGCAACAATAAACGCGCTGCTGCAACGTTGCCAAAACGCGACGCCAGTAAAACTAATTGAGGCGCAACAAAATAGCCGAAGAAATTTCCTTTCCCCTTTCCCATAATCTCTTTCTCGATCGCGATGTAAACACACAATCCTGCGATCATAATTCTGTCTGCATCTATTTAGGCACCCATAAATCTATGTCAAGGTTGCAGCCAGACCCTATAGTGTGTATGCAAAATGAATGACCTTCCCACCCACTTTTCCCCACCCCGTTGCAGGTGCAAGTGGGCAGCCCATCGCACGGGGAGCTGCTCCGAGGCGATATCATCGCGAAGATCGGCGAGTACGACGCACGCGACCTGAGTCATGCGGATGCACAGCAGCTGTTCCGCGGTGCTGGCAACGAGATCCGCCTGGTGGTGCACAGGTGAGCCAGGAAATCCGTGTTCCCAAGCAAAAACAAATGCGATCAAAGATCAGTTCAGTACTAATTGCCTTAGTAAGATATAATATAAATTTGATCTTAGGCTGTTTTACTACATTTTAGTTGATTTGATCATTAAATATATTGTTTAGTTATTCAAATAACTTATTATTCATAGAAAAATAAACATCTTATACGCAGACTTAAACACGAAATTATTTATGTTGGATGTCGGATGACAACAATTAATTATGATAATTGTAAATATTATTCAGTGAACATTCTTAAAATGATGTAAATATAGTCCAGTTTAAATGCATATTATATTCAAATACAAAATTCAAAATTTTTGGAAAATATATACCACATTGTCTGCCATCATAAAAATTTGACGACTTTTAAATTACAGAATTGGTTTTTCCTGCATTTATATTGCCAATAAAACTAGATCGACTTATAAAAACTTTTCAGTTATAGCTGTTTATGTTATGGAAGCTCGACTATACTTAATTTAAGTTAGGTATCAATTAAAGTGTTTTTTTTTTTTTGAGAAACTTAATTGAATTGACTTTGATTTCATAAGTTAAATTAAAATTCCTTATGAGACACATATTAATTTCATAAATTGCAGGGACAACAAAATCGCCTACACGCAGGGAGCCACTCAAGAGGCAGGTCCTGGACAGCGCAGCAACTCCACTTTGCCGCCGGCCAGTCCGGAACTTCTGCCCCACCGTGGTCCTTCGCCCTTCTTGCCCGGACCCAGTCACTTTGAGAGGGCTTTGCATATGCCAGTGGACACTCTGCCGCAGACCGTGTTTCCGCAGCTGAACTCTTCAGGTGGTTATGAAGTGCCCTCGACTGTGTTCTCGCCCAAGCCAACACGAGATCACCAACAGGATGTCGACGAGGAGCAGGCTGCCATTGTAAATCAGGTGGGTGCATTCAAAAACATACCAATATTTGATGAAGAATCTTCTATTTGATAAGAAGTTATTCATATTCAATTTATTACCGGTTACATTTATGTACAGATTTCCATTAGAAAATGTTTTATGTTCAGGCTTAGTATATAAATAATTTTAAACCTAAAAGTATGTCACAAATTGTGAATTTATTAAAAAACAAGAAAGGAAAGCTAACTTCGGGCGGAGCCGAAGTTGATATACCCTTGCAGAATACTCTGTAAATTATATTCTCCAAAATTATTCATATGATGCATTCTTAATACTCATAAAAAATCCGAACTTCCTAACTTTAACAACAACAAAGTTATGGCATTTCCAATCGTTCAGTTATATGGCAGCTATAGGATATAGTCGGCCGATCCTTATGAAATTTGATAGGTCGGATTGATTGGCCAAAAATAAAATCCATAGAAAATCCCAACTTCCTAACTTTACAAACACCAAAGTTATGGCATTTCCGATCAATCAGTTATATGGCAGCTATAGGATATAGTGGGCCGATCCTTATGAAATTTGGTAGGTCGGATTGATTGGCCAAAAATAAAATCCATAGAAAATCCCAACTTCCTAACTTAACAAACACCAAAGTTATGGCATTTCCGATCAATCAGTTATATGGCAGCTATAGGATATAGTCGGCCGATCCTTATGAAATTTGGTGGGTCGGATTGATTGGCCAAATATAAAACCCATAGAAAATCCCAACTTTCTAACTTTACAAACACCAAAGTTATGGCATTTCCGATCAATCAGTTATATGGCAGCTATAGGATATAGTCGTCCGATCCTTATGAAATTTGGTAGGTCGGATTGATTGGCCAAATATAAAACCCATAGAAAATCCCAACTTTCTAACTTTACAAACACCAAAGTTATGGCATTTCCGATCAATCAGTTATATGGCAGCTATAGGATATAGTCGGCCGATCCTTATGAAATTTGGTAGGTCGGATTGATTGGCCAAATATAAAACCCATAGAAAATCCCAACTTCCTAACTTTACAAACACGAAAGTTATGGCATTTCCGATCAATCAGTTATATGGCAGCTATAGGATATAGTCGGCCGATCCCGGCCGTTCCGACTTATATACTGCGTGCAAAGGAAAGAAGGGTGTGTGCAAAGTTTCAATCCGATAGCTTTAAAACTGAGAGACTAGTTTGCGTAGAAACAGACAGACGGACAGACGGACATGGCTATATCAACTCAGGAGGTGATCCTGATCAAGAATATATATACTTTATAGGGTCGGAGATGTCTCCTTCACTGCGTTGCACACTTTTGACCAAAATTATAATACCCTCTGCAAGGGTATAAAAAAGTATCTATAGATTTTGAAATGGGATATACATATGTATGTATATTATTTTATTTAAAAGTTTATCTGGAGCTAGACGCATGTCTAACTAAATAGACTCGATATGTTTCCGTTTTTTCAACATTAAAATCCTTCAAAAATAGTTTATGTGTTATAGAGTGTGTATGTAAAACAGAAAATCCAACAAATTTCTAAATTGTTCATCCAAATCAATGCATTTGAATGTTGCATACTTTTCGGCAAGTAAAACGTAAAATGTGTGTAAAATTGTTGTGGAAGTAGTACTTATTCAGTTTGAGCTATACTAAAACAAGGACTTTTGTTAATCAATTTCATCGTCAGTGTGTGTGTGTTGCTACTGAAAATGTGCATGTCAAACAAATAGTAAAATGTAGAAAACTTCTTTGTTTTTTTGTAATATAAGCGTATCGAAACGCTGACATCAGCAGATAGAAATGTTGGTGGTCAAGGTTCCGCCACTTACATCCGCTAAATATAGCCCAGAGATCGAGAATGGGGGGCGCTAAACAGGAAAAGGCCCAGTGACGCAGTGCGCAGGTGGAAATTGGCGAGAAATCAAACAAAAACAAGTCAGAGCAGAGGCTGTAACAGAGAAATGTACGCCCCCAAAAACTCTGCGGAAAATGCCAAGTGGCAAAGACGCAAATAAACAAGAAAACATTTCGAAGCTATTTTGGGCAGGTGAACGAGGGTGCAAGGAGGCGATTCTGATCCACTGTCCGTCCACCTTGTGATGCGGTGGCAATGCCAATGAAAGCACCACCCCCTCCATAATTTCCCATTTCCCGCAGATGACGCCGCTAATGAATCAAGACACTTGCCAAGGTCGCAACTTTGTGTTTGCCAGTGTGGCACCAAAATAAAAATCAAGGTGCCTACACCTACATATATGTTTTTGATGTTTGACGATTTGTCATACAGAAGTGTGAAAAAGGTGTCGAGAAAAAGTTCCAGAACAGGTGACCTCCCCACTGAAAGTTGGTCTATTCTCGGCCCAATCTTCCAAAGGGGTTATTGTACTTTGCTTCAGCTAACTTATGGTTAATATGTACCTTGAATCGTTCTATTTGTTTTCTTCATTTCGCTTTGTTGGAGCACAAATCGCCCCAAAACAACCATCAGTTGGATTGTTTATTGATCGTTTTGTTTTAAACATACGTGGGCACACAAAGAAAAATCGGAAATGATTAATTTCACTAGTGAAAATCAGATATAAATTTTGATATTTACTTTGTTTTATCGATTTTTTTAAAAAAAGCTTAGATAAAAGGCTTAAATATGAAACATTTTATATCTAATTTGTTGACATTATAGTATGAATTTGAACAGTATTTTGGAAAAACTTCCACAAGTCTCTTATAATAGAACCTGTTTAAAAGGAAAAGGAAATGTGTGAATACTGTTAAAATCAAATCAACAACTTCGACTTTTTGTGTTTTTACGAATTATAAAAGTTGAACTGTAATTTGTGGAATTTAGATCATTAAAATGTACTATATTTTTTCCAAGTGTATACGAGTTCCTAAAATGAACTGCAACCTTCGCAGTGGGAAAAACAGAATATAATTCCATGTAAGTTATGCGTTCCTTGGATCTTCCATCGAACTTGAAATTTTTAAAACAGCCTTTCAAGGCTAATTACACCTGCTCGTGTGATTTTTCGGCCTTTCCACGACATCAAATGATATGTCCAATCCCCTTTGCCAATGTCAATTGCTTATGACAGCCGAGTACAGAATGCCAATGCCAATAATGATGGGATGTACATATCTTTGGAACTGTCTGAATCGGTTGACAAATCTGTGAACCATCGGCATTTGCCAGTGCGCTCAGTGTCAGTGCAAATCAGTTAAAACAAACTGAGCAAATCAATAATCTAGCTGCGAATCTGCGAGATATTGCTCACATTTCTTAAGTCTGCGAATTTATTATTAATATTTCTGCATTCGGGCGAAACAATAACCTCGAGCCCGATAAATATTTGTGCCTAATATTCGAAATGCGAAAATAATGCTGTGAAATTGCTCCACAAAAGCGGCAATTAAAACATATAGGCGAGCTGTTATATGTGAACAATTCTCGACTGGGGCGGCAGGACAAACAACAACATCCGTTGGGGGCGGGGAAAAGGAGCGTGGGCGGGAATGAAAAGAAATTAACAAAATGTAGATCACACCAAGTCCAAGTTTATACGCTGTGTTTGTTGTTGGCCGTTGGTTTACGCTCGGTGAACAAGCTATTTGCACAAAAACATATTTTGTATATTTCAAAAATCTCCTCTCTCTCTCCGAAAAATACATAAGATCTGGGATGGGTGGTTGTGTGGGTGCGTGGGTCGATCGGCCTCTGACCGTCAGCACTCACTTTTCTATATGGCTCACACAGACAGACACTCTCCAACCAATACCGCGATGGCTATATAGACAAATTGGAATTCCGCGCAGTCGGAATAGCAATAATTCGCCAGCATTTGAAAATTTTCAAATCAGTTGCGTTCGGAATATTGAAAAATAAACAACAATAAGACTCGAGCTCGAGCATCCTTTTTGTAGTGAATCCTCGTGAAACGATCTCCGATCTCACCAGCTGCAGCGTTGATTTAAACGTGCCGAAAAAGCAAGTTACCAATCCAATAACAATACTACCAACGATAACAAAAAAAATATATTTTAAAAAAATAAATTATCAAAATTGACGTGATCTTCCATTACGTAATTGTCCCTGGCTATAATATTTTTCGTTTCTATTTTGTTTAAATTCTGCCCAACGAAGGAGTTTAAATTAAAACCCAAACACATACACATTACAAAAATGGAGTACGTTCAGTTCAAAAACGGATCCCCAGTCTACTACAGGGAGCAGCCAGACCTCAATGAATGCATTCAATATCAAGTAAGCCACAAAGTGAACCATTAACTCAAACTTAAAACTGAATAAATAAATAAAAACAATATATTTCAAAAGGATTTGGAAAAATAACCTTAAAAATTAAACAAGTGTGTGGAAAACAAATTTTAAATTAAGGGTAAAGAAAAGGACCATTATGTTTATAGAAATAATATGTTTTCAAGATAAATCCACTTAGTTCTGGATATCTGTGATATAAAACCGATCCCATCTCACACTGTGATTTGATTAATTTTTCACAGACTTATGTATAAACAAAAATTTCCACTGCCTGATAGACGTCGAAGTACAAGTACACAGTCCAAATCCAGATGAAACATTTCACCTTTACCGTCAAACATTTGCACTTGGAATTCAAGTTCAAATACAAATGCCAAAACCAACCGACGTGTATATTTTTCGAGGCTTTCATCTTACTTTTCCCTCAGAAATATATGATTAAGAATGAAGAATATAGAATGGCATATAGCACAGCTATAGGTATACTAATGCATATATCTGGCTGGCGGTTCTCACCGCCTCTCTGCATATAGCTTATTATTGAAACATTTGTTCGCTTTTCGTCAATACGCGTCGAAAGGCAACCAGAGTTTTTGAAACATATTTTTCATTGCGCTCTTGCCTGTGCTCAATGTAATTCATACCATCCAAACGGGGGGATATTTTTAGAGAAGAGAGCGTAGGAAAAACAACAATAAGCCAGCAAATAAATAAACAAAATGATTATAAAAGAAATTAATTTCATGTCGAGATGGCCAACAAACCCACACGTATTCAGAATCAGTGGTGTTAATTTGACTCGAACGATCTGAAAACCCCTCAAAAAAACAAAAGCAGACTTCCCCTACGATTTTCACAACTTTTGGCACTAACCGAGAAGAAAACTTGTGGCGCAGCGAAAGTGGAAATTGTTTTCACTTTTGCGTTTTGTATATTGCAGAACTATTTTATTCTTATTTTCTTAGGGCTAACAGGAAATGAATTGTCTACATCTTATTGGTCAACGGATCGGATTAGAAATAGATTATGGGCGCAACATTTACTTAAATTTATTACACACATAAAATCCCCAAGATTCGATTCAATTAATAGTCAAGCAAAATTTCGAAAGTGACCCTCAAATGATATTTCAAAATATTTCAGTGCTTGCGCGAGCCACGAATTTTAAAATTAGCGTCAAAAAGTATTCTTATATATATATGTTCGTCCCCAAGGTGAATGAAAATGAGAGAAATGCGCAATTAACCAGCGGATTGTCTGGCACACTAATTTCCTAGAGGTAATCGTCCAGATCGTCACTTGCTCAGGCAGGCGGTGTCGCTGAGGATCGAGGCGATCAGCTGCTTGTCGCTGAGTGCCGCGTGCACCTCCTCCTCGTCCCACTGCAGCAGGACCTTGTGCAGGCGCGGCTCCTTCTTGCGCATGATGCGCAGGATGCCCCGGGTCTCCACCAGGTCCACGGTTCCGGTGAACTCCGCTTGGTCCAGGGCCAGTATGTTGCGTTTGGCACACACTCGCCTGTAGACCTCGTGCAGGCGACCCATGCTGATGTCCTTGTTACGCTCGTTGCGCAGCATCAGCACCAGGGTGCACAGCATCAGCTTCTGCTGCAGCGGGAAGGAAGCCTCGATGTCCTCCTCTAGATTCTGCGAGGCTCCGTAAACTTTGTTCAGCACAGCAGCCACTTGAGTGACCTGAACTGGCTTCAGAGTGTCTGAAATTGTACAAACATTATTTGTTATTGTATTTTCTTATGCAAAGAATGTCATAGATGAGCATCCGACATTGAAAACTTGAGTTTCAAGGTTTCTTTTTTATTGTTCGAAAAAAAAAAATTATTATTTGGTTTTTGATATTACTCAATCACTAAAGATTCTTTCAAATAACATTGTCGTTCACAGCTCTTTAAAATACCAGATTTAAAAAATATTTAGGTATAAAATTAAATCAAAACTTAACATTTTGTTCTTTTGGGTTACTTACCCTGCTTTTCTTTGGCCTCTACTGCCTCCTTGCCATCCAGTTGGAGAGCCTTCATGTTGAACTCCTTTTCACCGTCGCGTTTCTGCTGCTCCGCAATCTCGACCACCCGTCGTCCAATGTCCAGCGCCCTTCGCACATCCCCGCTGATCGCACTCACTTTGGCGGCCAGCAATTGCAGGGTCACGGGCGGAAAGACGTCCAGCACGTCTGCTTCGGCCAGGCGCGACTTGAAGATCTCCACGATCTGTTGCTTGGAGTAGGGCGGGAAGTGCATCAGTCTGGGCTTTAGTTCGCACCTGGCATTCAGGCGCATCAGCGCCCGATCTGTGAGATCCAAGCTATTGGCAATGCCCACGAGCAGTATTCTGGAACCGGGTAGAGCGGGCCACTCAAAGATCGTGTACAGCACCTCCTGCTTGCTGGTGCAAAGCTGATCAATCTCGTCGAGCACTAGCAGTAGCATTCGCTTGGCTGTCCTCAGATGACGTTGAATGGCCTCCAAGTGGTCCCTTTCAGTGCGACCACTGACTTTCAGCTGGAGTTCAGCACATAGCTTCTTGTAAACGGCTCCTACGCTGGCAATGCTAGTGCAGTTGATGTACACTCGTTGAAGGCGCCGGGAGAAGTCCTCATTTCTTAGTAGTAGCGATAGGCAGGCGGTCTTTCCTGTGCCCGGTTGGCCGGAGACGTAGAGGCTGCCGGAGGTCTGACTTTCCAAGTGACTGCTAAAGAATTCACGTAGCTCTTGCAGCTGGGCCTCTCTTCCTGGCAAATTTTGGGTCTCGGCACTGTTTAGTACTCGTCTGGCGTTTTGGTACTTGTTGCGGGATGGCAAGGGCAGGTTATCTTGGTTGGATTCCTCTTTGGTTGGGAGTTTGCCCTGCTGTTCCTTGATTTGAGGTCTATCCTGCTGTTTGATTGGAGCTTTGTCCAGCGATTTGGTTACAGGTTTCTCCACCTGCTTGATTAGAGATTTTTCTTGCTGCTTCGGATCTTTGTTTAGAGGTTTTTCCTGCTGCTTGGCTGGAGGTTTCCCCTGCGGCAGGGCAAGAGGATCGTCTTCCTGCTGCCTGGCTAAAGGCTTTTCCTGTTTCTTGGCCAGAGGCCTCCCTTGGTGCTCATCCTGCTCTCTGTCAGTCTTGTTATCCGCCTCCTCCTGGCGTTCGTCGATGCTGAGCCTGTCCAGTAGCCGCGAAGGACTTATAAGATGCTGCGGCAGTGGCTGCAACCTGCGCTGTTTAGGTGGCGAAACATGCAGCTGGTCCACATCCTGTTCCTGATCGCTGTCATCCAAGAAGATCGCAGCGGCTTCGCGGTTCTCCGCCTCCCGTTTTGATCGTGAAATAGCAGCTGTTTTCTTGGTGCTGCGTGGCGTCTTTGGGGGCTCCAGTTGAGTGGCCTGCAGTTGCACCTGAGAAGTCCTGCGCCGTGAGGTTTTGTCCATTTTGTTGAGCAGATTGCGGTTCTCGTTGTTCTCTGAAACGGGGCTGGTCAGGTCATAGGTCACCTCCTCCTCGTCGCTATCAGCAATTACTTTCTTCGGCTGCCTGCGTTTCCAAACTTCCGAGCGACGCGGCGACTGCGTCGACTGCGGCAGCGGAGAGGCGGCGGCCGCCTTGCTGATGCTACTCAATCGCGTGGAGCGACGTACGGCAGCCATTTAAGCGTTTGTTTTGTTGATCGGTGGTTAGTTTATACTAAATAATAGTTAATTAAGCCAAGGCGTGTGTTAAAATTCCTAGTTGGCAGTCACAGTTAAAAAGCGCGCAAAACGCGTTTGCCATTCACCCCGAGCAACAGCTGTTTTGAGCCCTGTTCTGCAGTCTGGCAACTCTGACCCAGAGCTACCTATCGCTTATCGATTAGCCGCGCTTAGTTACAACATTCAAACAGCAGCGCATCGCTCATATTAAATTACTTACACACTCGCTCGAAGACTGTCTGGTAAAAATAAAAACGTTCCGCGGCAGATACAAAATACAAAACGCTGGACGTTGAACACGCTTACGTAAGCGCCTAAAAATATTTGCTCTGCCAGTGGGATATTTTTAAAGTATATAAACGGGCGCACATAAAATGGAATTTTGATATATAAAAATTATGCACACATACACTCAAATCGGCGAACACCTAGCACAGTGGGCGAAGATCTGAGGATTTCTAGTAGAATCTACAAAACTCTGGTAATCGTTCTCTGATTTATTTATATTATCATTTGCCACAACGGCTGCCAAATGTGTGCCCAGCGCAGCATTTTGGCGTAAACAAAGTCGTTAATCTTGACTGATCACGTGTGGTGTGGTTCCGTTCCGTTTTCCAGCCCTACCGGACAACTCCGCTGGTCCTGCCCGGCGCCAAAGTGAAGAAGGATGCGCCCACGACAGAGTCCTACTTGAGGCACTACCCCAACCCGGCTGTGCGCGCCCACCCAGGACACGACTACCATGACAGTATCATGAAGCAGCGCGTGGCCGACACCATGCTGCACAAGGTGGTCGGTTCGGAGGCCGACACTGGCCGCGTAAGTACAGGGGAACCCCCCAATCTTGGCTAATTACAATACAATCTATACAATCAATTCAAAAAAGGGGAGGTTTTCTACATTTTATATGGACATTTTCAGTAATAACATTCCGATCTTGTGTTTCTGTTTTGTTTTGTTTTTATCATTTTTCCATTAAAAGATAATTTGTTTTTGTGTTGGATCTAACGACCTTTAAACATTGTGTAAATTGTATAAATTTTGATATATTAAAAATTAATTGTTTTATAACAAGATACCCAATTAGTTTGAAATTTAAATTGATTGAAATTGACAATTTAAAGTAACGAAAATATAAGAAAAATAAACTTTTTAAAATCCACACCTTATTCAATACATATTTGTATTGATGATATTAAACTCAGTTTTTCTTCTCCGATCGCAGGTCTTCCACAAGCAATTCAACTCGCCCATCGGCCTGTACTCCAACAACAACATCGAGGACACCATCAGATCAACAGTTCCGTAAGTTGCCACCCAGAAATATACCATCTGGAAACTCTTATGCTTAGCTCGATACAATGAAAAACCACTAATATCTGAACTTTGGAATACGCTTGTCAAATTGAACATTTAAGCCTATTATTTACGCTTCATTTCTTTGGATTTTGCTATTATTGAATAAATCTGCGTAGAACTCTTCGAAATTTTTGATGTAGCTTTTCTTTTTGCCAGAGAGAGAAAGAGCCACTCGAAATGCGCCTAGTAGCTTGAAACTAATAAAGCGAGTCACGAGTACGGTTACGAGTAGCCTAAGGTCCACATAACCCGAAATTGGTTCCTGGTTAAGCTGCGGCCATAATCCACTAACCCAAAAAGCCACAAAATCAAAGTCGAAACGAAATTTACTAAACCGAAGCACACACGAAATGAGCAACACACATTCGAACACACAGACAAAAAAAACGAATAAACCAGTCCATAGATGTTGTACGTACTACTGCCTACTGCCGGATCTCTGTTAAATATACCACTCTCTATATATAAATATATATATTCTATGTGTATTGTTGTAGCTTTGCCACAAGCGAAAGCAATCGCTTGAAGGACAGTCCTTTGCATCGTCCTTTGCCAACGAAACTGAACGGGTAATAGTAAATTCTAGTAAATATCTTGAGCACAGCCTGATTTCGTTCGTTGATTGAATCCTTCTCACTTTGATATGGAAAGCACACGAGCAAGAACTTGAGATTGAACCTGAACTTGCCTTGAGACAAATTGAATATGAGGAATGTTTACCATGTTTCCCGTGTTTTCCCTGCCTGTCTGTACAGACTAACCCTCGATTATTGTTGTCTCCCGCAACCACAACAACTTTACTATAAAGTCTCTTTAAACCAGATGCAATATCTATGTCAGAACAACAGAAACAACACGACACAAGTCCAAATCCCGATTGCATGTGCTCTGCTGTCTATATATATATGTTTGTCTATCAATGTTTCCTAAATCTTCCTATACATCTTCCTATTGCAAAGTAAAGCTCCCATGACTCGAGTCTGTGATATGGAAAACCCTACTGTGTACATACGTGTATTTCTGGAAACTATCTTCTCCGAAACCCCCAACGAACTTTGTTTGTCTTGAGGCTTTCTTGTTTGGGTTGCTGCAATGTGAAAGGTATGGCAAAAGTGGCGCAGGAACATCGGGAAGGGGTTTCTTTGGTAGGTCAGGTGCTGTACTTATAATCAATAGTTTAACCCAATCCAGACTATACCACCACTCTAGCTCTTAGACCCTGATATATTTAGAACTTAGCTGCACGATTAATGTTAGAATTTTCATCGATCTATCTTTCCTGGAACAAAAACGTATAATTCTGGAGCAACAAAAGCAAAAAGATCAACTTGCAGAGCAACAACGTCAACAGCGCCAGCAGCAACTGCAACTACTGTATCAACAAAACAAATGATCAAAGAAATAGTAGCCAAATTCCACCCAATTCTACCAGACAAAGAGCCAAAACCCCTTTTCCAAGACCCCTGCTGAAAGTCCCACCCCCCATCCTTTTTGCCACCAACCCCATAAGACTAATCTAAAAACTAAAAGACGTTTGCTGAATTATATTTACGAACTGTTTGAAAGACAGCATTGAAAGTTCCTATTCTCATGACCCCGCAACCCATCCAGTATTAACCATAACCAAGATGAAACCAACTAACCAACCTAATCCCGCCCGATCTCCAGGCTTCAAACTCATCCAATAATATTATAAATCGTATAATCTCACACATTGTTATGCAGTTCTGTTCGATTACTCTTAATAACTAGCTCGTAAGGAATTTGTTAATGCGTTTCCTATTAATCGCAATCCGTTTGAGGAGTGTGCTGTGCAGTTTCAAGACAACGAAGCACACCATTATTGCCCACCAACAACAGCAACAACAAACTACAACTACAAACAAAACAAAATAATTCTAACGTATTTTGTGCACATCCTGTTTTCTCTTTCTATTCTCTCACTACTCTGTCTCACGCTACTCAACCGATGTAAAAAAAAAACAAAAAAAAAAATCAAAAAACAAACCAATATATTTTTTATGAATCTCAATTAACCAACAACAATAAAACGACTTAAAAATAAAACTCTTGAAAACTTGCATAACCAAAAAACCAACGAAATAATTGACCAAAATAACGGCGCTTTCAACGATCTCAATGCAAACCCCCGAATCACTGTACCACTGAATCTGAATCTGAATCCAAATCTGAATCACGAATCACTGACCACTGCCACCGAGCAGCTATAAGAAAACTGTCCAGTACGATCCCAGGAACAGCGATACCTACAGAGCCATTCAAGAAGAGGGCGGCTACAGCAACTACGGCAATGCCGCGCCACAGGAAGTAACCATACCTGTGCAGACTAGGGTCTATCAGCCCAATAGATTGGTTCCAGGAAAGGTAAGATCGTGCGCAAAACGTTCGAAAAAAAAATAAACAAATCTAGCAAATCTCTCAATCAAATCGAATCAAACGTCCAAACTCAGTCAAAACTCTATGTGAAGGCATCCGACAATATCGCTCGATTCGCAAGCTCATCCTGTACAAAGTCTATCAATCTATCTATCTCTCTCTCTGTACCTATATCGCTGTCTCTCTTTCTGTGTCAATGTAATCGTATAGTCAACAGAGTGTCCTGTGTGTCCCTATGTTAACGCGCTGTAACGACGACTAAAGTAGTGTTACTAACCTGGTTTTTTGGTCGATCATCGGCTGGCATCGAACTACACTAAACATCCATTAATCCCATCTCTGTGTATATTTTCCAAATCACATGCACACACACATTATTTTGGCATTCTAACATAGATTAACATCTAACAAAAGCTCATAACCGTTAGAGATTGCATTTGTAAACGAAATTGCTGGAGTTTGCCAGAGTTATTAAGCAATATCTTATCTCTCCACTCCATCCGAATGCTCTTACAGAAACCAGTATCAGCGCCAGTATCCCGGCCGCCGTACAATGTGAGTAGCTCTATAAGGCCACTGTTAACTGAATGTTAATCATATATATATATATCATACATAGGTGGTAAACACCCACGATGAGAACATACGCCAGAGCGGCTCTTTCAATCGTCTCATGTACAGCGTTATTGGTGCCACCGAGTACTAAAGAACTGCAGCAGCAACACCAGCGACAGCAGCAACATCAACACCAGCAACACCAGCAACATCAGCAACATCTGCTGCAGGCACCGACAGTTGTTTATCTCCTAACATATTTAGCGGATTTTTATGAAATTCTGTTTAACTTACTCAATAAATTATATGAAGAACGACAAGGAATTGTGAACCACTAACAAGCTTAATGATAAATTGGTTTGGTAAACGATTGGAATCGAAATAAATTTATGATATGTCTAAAATTGAAACACAAATTAACTCCGCCTCAACCTATTTACTGTCTCCATATGCAATAGAAAATCTATATAAATTAAATAAAAAAGAAAATTAAACTAAATTAGCAGAAATTTTGATTTATAGTTATGTTTATGTTATATTGATTTTAGATTAACAGCCTTTGGGTGTGTTAATGTCGAGTGATTCTAGTCATGGAATGTAATAGGTATAAAGAATGTTTGAATTAATAAAAGTGAATTTGATTGGACAAAAGTAATGCGCCAGGCGTAATTGTTTCTCATTAATTTACATATGACTGCACCTGATATTCATAGTTTAAGCGTGATATAATTTGGATTCAAACGTTTCAACACGCCAATCTCATAATTGTATCACAATGATTTGAATATGACGAGCTCTTTTGTCTGTCTACCTTCTTTTGAACATAAGTATTGCCCAGCCCAACTCAACCCAACAAAAGCGAACCCAAATGGTAGCCGAAAATCTTTGCATAACATGACGCTGCAAATCTGCACTTATTCCATCAATCATTCCGGCAATTAAACGTATTTATATTGAAACTATATGCACACATGAGCCGAGAAATGAGCGTACCCATAAATTTGACTTTAATTTGAATGGAAATAAGTCACTCGAGAGTGTACGTGTGTAATGTGCATAACAATTGTCTGCAACACATAATGTACTTTCACTTCACGGCTAAGTAAGCCACAAATGCGCGGTTGGTTTTTCTTTATTTTGTCTTGTTTTTTTTAAAGCTGCCACAATGTCAGAGCGATCCCATTAAACGGTCAGCTCGGCCCCATTCGATTGCGAACTCCCCCGAAACGACCTTGTCGACTTCGAATCGATGCAAATTCAGGGCGTATGGCAACTGTAACATCAACAATGCTGCTCTGTGGCAATTGTGATCGAATATCAAATTCAGAGGAGGAGGACTTATAGAGGTTTAATGTTCGTATGCAAAGGGCTTAGAGTGCAGAAAAAAGATTTGGCAATCGGCGACATCGAAGATCGCTTGAACCCATTCAACCGCAACGCAAACGCAACGCCAGATTCAGATTCAGATTCATCTACACAGATAGGTATTTGTAGTTGAGCAGCAATGAAAAGACAAAAAACGTTTTCATCGATTTGGGTCAGAAACAATGGAGGCGGCTCTGCACTTGTTGGATTCGATTTTTGACTCGGGTGCGGCTCCTATAATCACATTGACCTCTTCTCCTCCAAACTGAGCAATTAATTGGGCATGATTATCTAATGGGAAGCCATCAGTCAATTGCATGGAATCAGTTGGAACTTGCATGATGGAGGAGTCGACCGCAATGTAATTTACATTTATTTCTGGGCATTGCATTGGATTGCATGGCTGAAAAATGTGTTGCAATCCGGCAGAAATATAGGTGTTGCAGATGACAAATTCGGGAAAGTTTCCCATCGCCCCCTTTTGGTATTAATCAGCTGTCTCTGCTAGCCAAGTTAGCAGCTGTTGGCCGAGATCACGTAGGGTTACAAAAAAACAAAAAAAAAAACCAAAACCTTTAACAATGGCCCAGGTCGAGGGTAGAGGAACTGTGATTTGAACGGAAGTGACAACCGAGTGGGGGGTGTGGGGGGTGGTGGAGGTTAGCCACCCAAAAACAGCTGTTGTAAATCAGCCAAGAGAGGCGCATTTTGGCCCAGAGAGTGAGAGAGTTGTGGCCGCTCGGCGTTTGTCGATATAAAAGTGCAATTTGGATTCGCAGCCAGCGCAGATACGTTTGTGGCTCCGCCGAGGTTTCAGTTTCAGTTTCAGTTAGAGTTTGAATTTGAGTGTCCGTGTTTCCGTCGGCTGCTTGTGATCTAATATAACATCTAAGGCTAATACCCACAGCAACATGCAACTCCTGCTTTTGGTGGCCACTTTGGCTCTTTGCGGCATTGTCAGCGGACAGCAGGGCGTGGATCCCGCCTACTTGAGGCAGTACTACCAGCAACTGCAACACCAGCAGCAACAGCAAGCCCAGCCGCACGATGGCACTCCCATTTACGAGCAGAATTCGGAGCAGACGCAGCAGTATGTGAATTCTGGCCAGCAAATCAGGATCAAGGATACGGTGGCCGAGCAAATTCGGGCCCAGCAGCAGCAAGGATACGTGGCACCGGCTGTGAGGGACTATCAGGTGGGGTTTCTTTAATAAATATATGTAATTTAAATTGTATATATAACTGTTTGCTTATCCCTTCACTAGCAATACCAGGCACAGCCGCAGCAGTCCGCCTACCGCCCACCTGCGCAGGCTGCCCCTCAGCCCCCCCGCAGGATCCAGCAGCCCTCGTACCAAGCTCCTTCCACTTCGATCCTCGGCAAAGGACAGCAAAAGTTGTCGCTGCAGCAGCAACAAGAGGAGGAGGAATACGATGACGTAAGTTTGGAATACACTAAAAGCTGATTACATTTTACGAGTGATTTAAACCAGTTTCATTTAAGTGCATAACTTAAAAAATTTTAAATATTAGGCGACTTTTATGACCCTTTTATACTGAAATGTGTTTTTGTGATTTTTGTATATTGTTAACTATTATACAAATGTCCTTAAGGCCTAAAGATGTGAAAAGAAGGTGTACAATTTCTCAGGCTCTCTAAAGCTAAAATACTTTTGCATAGAAAATATTTTAAAACAACGAAAACCAAACCCCACATAAGAGTGTAAAAAGCATATACAAATATAAAAGAAGGTTATTAAAATCGTCTTACCTTTTCGATATAATAATATCAAATTGTAAACGATCCTATTTTTGCGGTGCAGAGCTAGAGTTCGAATTCCCATTCAAGTGGGACTTTCGCGCACTTTCCTTTTCGCTTCACTGCAGCAGCAACTGCAGCAGCAACAGCAACAGCTACAACAGCAACATATACAACAGCAACATCTACAACAGCAACATAATTACAATCGAAGCATGCAATGGCATTGGGGATGGATCGGGGGAGGGAACTGTGACTTGGGGTTCATTAACCACACTTGGTAACAGTGTGGATTTGGCCATGGCCATATGTGTGTAGTGCATTGTGCATGTTCATTGGCCCGAGTTCGCTCCTGGTCCGGTCCGTTTTTCCACTTAGCCATCGGCGATTGTTTTATGGCCCCTGCATGCGGAAGCTGGCGAATATCCGTTACCCAAGTGACCATAATCCATCAGCCGTAATGCTGCATAAAGCTAACGAGATGGGGTTAAGCTGCCCAGGTGGTGTGTCATCTTTTTAGCCACTTAAAATTAATGGCTAAGCCAGGATGGTAATAACATAGAAATCACCTACTATAATAGTGGGTATTTATATCAATTAAATTGGAATGGGAAATCAGTTGTAATGCATCAGGGAAACTTATGTCCGTTTTGAGTTAAAACCAGTTTTATCAGTTCTCAAAATATGCGATATATTGCAGTTCTATTTATTAATTTATTTCACTCCTAATTACAACACCTTTCAAATATATCCATATTTCATAGGCCCCATAAAATCTGCATAGCCACTAAAGTTCCATTTGCAAGATCAACCAGAAGTCGCTGCAAATGATACATTTTCTGTCTGCGATGGCCATAAATGTGACACTGCCGTTGGCAATTACATTCTCCGCCAGACAATCACTTTCAAAGGCGACCCATATACCGGGGTACATACCAATCCGCTCCCCTGCACCAAAGACCTGCAATTCCGAGCCCAATTCCCACAACAATGAGTTGCACTCGAGCAAATGGACAGTGCACGCATTAGAACCGGCTTGCCAACTGGCTTTGCCTTTCCAATTTTCGGCTTGCAGTTCTTTGGGTGCTTTATTGCTTTTTCTTATGGGCCACGTCAGGCCCAAAGGCTCTAAAAAAGAACCGAAGTATCGATGGCCACGCCTTTGAGCCACGATCTTCTGGTTACCTTAACCCACTTGCCATTAATCTGCGATGGAATTGTCTTGGCCTGTTGAAGGTCTTGTAGCCGTTGCATCCTCATAAAAAAATTGAGAGGGGGAAATCGCCAACCTTGTGCATAAATTATTAAACACCTCGAGGTTTTACGGGTGGTGCTTCTACCGCCTGGCAGTCATTGCATAATCCGCAGTCATCGGATCGATTGGGTGATCCGCTGCAACGGAGCTTTGATTTCGTGCGCCCGGACCATTAAAATATGCAAGCTGGTCCAAATTACTTTCACTTGTGCGTGATCGGGGATTTGGAGTTCCAGCCTACGCGCATGCGCCTGCGGCTTGTGACGCAACCACCGTCTGGACACGTTTTTTGGGCCAGCCACGAAAGTGGGTCAGCACCATGTGGCAGTACGCATTTGAACGTCCCAGTCGAACCCCACCCCTCAACGAGACCAATGTGATCTTATTACTTGAGAAAATTAATACGATTCGATAAAATTAATACGATGCTATTACAAAATGCATTTAGTTTTGCATTGCCAATTATGTCATGGGAGATTTTTAGATTTCGGAGTCATTTGATTGGAAAATAGGTTAATCAATCTATTTGAAATTGTCATATACATCTGTTGGTTCATCTTAAAATTACCTTTGACAAAGACTTATCTTATTTGGTTAATAAAGATTAACATTATATTGCTAATGGTTATTAGGTCATCATCATCAAATAAAGACCCCAAGAATTTCCGGTAGTTTCATTAAAAATATCTATAAAATAACCAAAAGAATTTATTAAATAATATAATTTTTTTATGTGACAAAAAGGAAACTTAAGTATATTTTAAAACTTCATCTTGAGAGAGAGTTTTCTTAACCACCTTTAAAAAATAAATCCAAAAGAATTGTATTAAGTTCCTACATAAAATTATAGCTCAGATTATTCGGTGAAATGTTTCATTCAAATACCGTAATACAAATAATTTGCTTAATTATTTTCATTATTAGTTTTTCACAAAATATACATAAATTTGTTTTATTCTTGATCATGTAGCTAAAGTTAACGTTTACCACCCTTTCAGCAAAACTCCTCGTACCAGTTTGGATTCGATGTGAAAGACGACGAGTTCACCAACTACCAGAACCGCAAGGAAATCCGCGATGGTTCGGTGATCAAGGGCAGCTACTCGGTGGTGGATTCCGATGGCTTCATCCGCACCGTCAAGTACACGGCCGATCCCAAGGAGGGCTTCAAGGCCGAGGTCATCCGCGAGCCCACCGACATCGTGGTGAAGATCCCCACTCCCCCGCCGCCGACGCAGCTGCTCCGCGCCGGTGGCCACAAGGCCCAGCAGGAGTACAGCTCCGGTCCCAGCAAGCAGCAGTATCAGCACCAGCAGCACCAGCAACACCAGCAGCAGCCACAGTACCACCAGTACCAGTAGGGAGGAGCACCAGTTCGATCGGACCAGATCGGAGACTCTTTTCGAAACACTCTTGAAAGTTCCGCAAGTCCATGTAGTTTGTAAATATGCCGAGACTCGATTAACGCGAGATTATAACATTATTATATATTATGTCATTCATTTAGGTTCGACTTTCTTGTTTAGAATATTAAATTAAAAATTTGGAAAAAAACAATTTGGTTTTTTAATGTTTTATGGCAAAAATGAGGAAAAAATCCTCTCGAGTTGCGGTTTTTTAATCAAAACCTTGTGAAATAATTGTCAAATATTGGAATGTCATACATCGTTGAATTCGTTATAAAATTTCCAATCGATTGGCATTCACAGCTAAAAAAATGTTTTTTTGCCCAATTTCTGCAAAAAAACTTGATGTTACCCCTTATAAAAAATGAAAAATCGAAAAAAAAAATTTTTTTCCAAATCAAACCGGAATTGAAAGTTTAGTTGCTCAGCTCCACCAAACAGTTATTTTTTTGGGTTTGCGTCTCATTTTGGCTAAGTTATTGCAAAAATCCCTTTAAAAAATAGTCAAAATCCCGAAAAAATCTACTCGAGTTTCGGTTTTTGATCGAAAGGTGGAATCTCATACCTCGCTGAATTTGCTATTAAATTATCAATTGATTGGCAAACTATCAATCATGATGGTATGAACCACACTACTGTAAGAACCACACATAATAATTTCCAAGGTTATTAACTCCCTCCGCAACGTATACATAAATTATTTCTAAGCTCCCTTGTAATTTAAACATCTTGGGATAATCTAAGGCCCATCCGAATGTCCAAATTGAGGTCACACCGATGTCTGCCAACTCGAAGGTAAACAAAATTTTATTTGCGTATAAATCAATGCGCTAACCCCCGAGCAATTGGCGAAGCTCATAAAGGACGAAGACCAAGATCCCAGTGACACCCAAGGAAACGTCTAAGGACAACCCGTTCGGGCAGTTGCTGACAAAGGCCATCTAATGGCAGTTCCCACCAGAAGCCGTGGATCGTGGTCACCGAAGACACGGATTTGGATTCGGACCCGGCCGGACCGGTCAGACCGGTTGTCCTTTGGGAACTTCTCACTCACGCCACACCAAAAGCAACAGCAATCGCAATCGCATCGCAGTCGCATCCAGTGTCCTTCTGCAGTGTCCTTGCATAAATTAGATGAGCGTGTGAGAACTTTGAGCAGCAGAATACCCACACCCCTCGCCCTGATGACCTTATCGCCCAAGAAGAAGACCGGCGATTAGGAACCGGTTCTGGACAGTCTCGAGATGAAATGCGCTGACTATGACTGACAGCCAGCGCCGATTGCTTCGCTAATGACCCGCATAGCGGCTGCAACCCATTTGCATATGCCCCGTACTCAAAATTGATCTCCTTCAAGGAGATCCCGAACATGTGTATGGTCATTCGCGCCCAAGATATAGGCAAACAACTACTGGACATTAGGCCTGTCCGCCGGGCATTTGTGTCATTTGTGCGGCCGACTTGGAGATATGCAAATGAGCATGAGTCGAATGCAAATGCAACCCCCGAGGTCACCGGCGAGGTTACAAGCCGCCAGATAAGACCCTACAACGTCTTCAACCCCTTCGTCCTGCATTTACATAATGTTGCCCCGCATGATGGACTGTCTTGTCCTGTAACTTAAAGTAACTGCAGGACATTCGGGTCACTGCCCAGAACCAGTTTCCTTCCACAGGATGGCCCCTCGCCAGTTGACCTTTTTGGCTGGCCCAGTGCCCGCGAAGTTGCTCAACCGGTTGGACAGTCCACTTTTCCACTTTTCCGGAGCGGCGTGAGAAAATCTCGAAGATGACCCAAGACAAGATCGAGGAGGAACCGAGGAGGCTGCATTCGTATGCAAATCTTTTGCATTGCTCTTCCCAATTTCACGCCAAATCATTGCCCTTAAATAAATAATACGCCAAAATTATGAAAAGTCACGATTTATGCGAGTTTCTTTTTGTAATGGGTATATACAGAGAGTGGGGGGTAGGAGTATGCAAATTAAGGCTGATCAGAGTGCGCTGCTCAGAGTTTTCCCTGCGCCATGTCCCAGCGGTGTTCGCCGTGGCCTCCTTGACGATCTGTCCAGATCACCTAAGTCGGTCGAGGAGATGGGAGGAGAGAGCCTGGCGAATTATCTGGAAATTTATTGGGATTGGTCTTGAGCTTACCTCGCCCTTGTAGCGATTCGTGCCCCTTTGCGACTCAAAGCGTTTCTCCTGAACCTTCGGATGCCTCAGGACGTGACCGTGACTCCGCGAATTGGGGCCATCGAAGCGCATGAAAATATCACTAGATTAAGAGATCGAGATTTAGGTCGGGCTTAGCTTTAGGCTTAGTAAACTAATTTGGCAGTATAAAATAGGTAATGCATGAAAATGTCACTAGACTTAGAGTTAGAGATTTAGGTATGGTTTCGCCTAAGACTTAATTAGTTAATTTGGCAGTATAAAATAGGTAATGCTTCAAAATGGCTTAGATTGTTAATTTTATAAGTTGAAAAAAATATTAAATGACTTTATCGCTTTCATTAAACAAAATCAGGAAGCTATGTGTCTTTCCTGTTTTTATTTTCAATTAAACCAGTGAGTGTTATGTGAGAATCACCATTTTGTTCAAATATTTTACACATTTTTCACCCTTTTTCCTGAAGCAATTTTCCTATTGAAAATGCACGAATAAAGAAATTGTAAACTCTGATTGCTTATGAACATGAATACAACCACCACCATTTTTTACCACTTTTTTCTCTTATCGTTTTCACCCATTTTGCAGCTATATTTTCTAACCCAAATTACTTGAATATATAAATTGGTCAAGTTATGAAAAAATGGATAATTGAGTTTAAGCATGAAGTGCATGTGGAGTTTACAAATAACTAACCACCACCATTTCGGTTGGTTTACAAGGCCTACCTTTGATCAAGTTATTTATTTTAAACTTGAAGTGCATTTGGAGTTTCCGAAAATATTAAACACCACTGTTTTTTAAGTCCAATTTACTCACTGAAAATATTTGGTTTCCTTGACTTTTCGATCACTCTTCGGTTCACTTCTGGATTCGGCGACATCTGTATCCTGATCCTTGGCAAATCGCCTGGGTCGCTCCGTTTGGACAGTTTGCGAAGGTTGCTGCTGCTGCTCCTGCAACCTGGCAATTCGAGGTGGAATCACATGCAACACATCGCTGGTGAAAAGGGCCGGCGGCACATTGTAGAGTTGCTGTGCTTGCTGCACCTGCTGCTGTTGCAAGTGTTGCTGCTGCTGCTGCAAGTGTTGCTGCTGCAATTGCTGTGTCTCCTCCGCGCGACGCTGAGGTTGCTGCAGTGAAACCCGCTGCACTGGCAGATAGTTCCCTTCGTAGCGATATTTGGCCAACTCGGCATGTGGCGCAATGGTCCTTTGCTGATACTGGACACTCTGTTGTGGATAAATGGGCGGAAGGGGTGGGGCAGGAGCGGGCAACTGCTGTTGCTGGTAATCCAAGGGCAGGGATGGATAGCTGGGGCGGTAGTTGATCAGCTGGAAGTGCGGCGTCTGCTGCTGGTAGTGAACAGCCGGCGGAGGAGCAGGTGGACTATAACCAGCCACAAAGGGCGTGGCTGCCGCATACTCGAATCTCCGAAGACGCGGTGAATCGTAGTACAATTGCCGTGGATGATAGATCAGGTGTTGCTGCTGCAACATCGCCGGCGATACGAGCAACAGCAACTGCAGTGGCAGCAGCAACATTTGCATCTCCCGCTGGCTAAGCATTCCGAATAACTTCCCAATTGGCAGCTCCATCGCGTTGCACGCTCGTCAAATTTGTGGCAGCATTTTGACAACAACATAGCCATTTATAGTTGGGCTCTTTTCGGGGCTTGGCAAGTGTTGTGGCGTGGCCAAAAAGCCGGAAGTCACTTGCCCAGCAGCAACAGCAGCAGCAGCAGTCAGCGGTGTGTGAAATCGATCGAAGCTGCCCCGGATTGTGCAATGCTCGAGCGGTCAGCTGCAGGGCCAGTCGTTACGCTGCCTTACATAAGACTTGCCAAACAAAGAACCGATGGAAAATAGTGCAAAATCAGCGAGTCTGGCGGAGATGAGACCCAGAATCGCACTGCTGGCAGCTGGCGGCCTTCGTCCGTCATCAAGGTCAAAGCTTGGCTATTTAGCATATTGAAAGTTTCGACTATTCCATTGTCAACATCTGTTTTGCGAACTTCCGCTCCCGTTGACCGTTAGATCCCGCCATATCCAGTTTAAGTCCGCTCTGATTGGTCGCTCATTTATCCTGGCAGCCTGTTGATTCCCTCGAAAGGGGTTGAAAGCCTAAGTTGTGACCTATAGGCCGTGTGCTTTTCAACCCCCTGTCAACGGACTCGAATATCAACCCTAAAATCCTCGCCAGCAGATCCTTCCTCGTCGAGCTGCGCAGTTAGGCAAATCATTCGACTTCTGAAGTTGAAACCCACAGCACCTCTAAGAACTGACAACTCTTTACCAAACCCGAAACACACATTTGGATATAACATCGCAACGAGAGAAAGAGGTGAGTCTTGATAGCCATAACACATTTATAATATAGGGACACGAGGTCGGTTCAAATCTTCAACATGCATGGGTGCGGGTACAAACTCCAGATCCACCAAAGTTACTACACAGAGAGCGTTATAGATACGGTTATAATACAAAGATTGTGGCCTCCACGAGAGACTGCTGCAACAAGTTTTCAGTGCTTTCGATTCGATTCAATTCGGTTCACAACAGAGCTAGAAGAAGGTTCCAAAGTCCGGTGGCCTAATCCGCCATGTTCACATTGTTCATGCGCATCTTGGCAAAGTCCTCGAAAACGATATTGTCATCGTCGTCCTGGTAGTAGCCCTTCACATTGCGGTGCTGCTCGATGGACTTCATCTTCTTCATGGCATTCGAGCGCTTCTTCTCAATGGTTCCTAATCATTATCAGAGGGGCTTAGTGAAGGGATATACTTTAAGGATATCAAGGACCTACCAGGTGCCGGTTGGAGCAGTTTGAAGGGCACATCCGTCTGCATTTCGCCACCCAGAGTGCCGCAGTTTAACTTGATGCGCACCGAGTACGAGATGACAATACCACAGGCATCGCCCGTGGACTTGCCCTCCTGCACCATGGTGGATGAGGCCAGATTGACGTCCTCGTCCTTCAAGTGTCCATCCAGGGCAATGCCTAGGATTAAGGGGGAGTTCCAATTAGATGGCTTTATTTTCAAATACAATCCCTATTCCTACCATGACGATCCTTGTTGTTGGCCGCCAGGGGAATCAGGTAGAAGGTCTTGGTCAGATTGGCGCCCGGGGTGATGGGGCAGCCCTCCTTGGTCTCCAGCTGGGCCACATGCTTGCTGAACTGGGCATTCACCATGGTGATCTCGGTGTGCTGCACAATGAAGCACTTGATGCTCTTCACCGACTTCTTCGAGTTGTTCGACACTTGGACGGTGGCCGCCGTCTTCTCGCCATGGTAATAGATCTCCCGATCCAGCGTGACCTCCAAACTGATCTTGCCATTCGAGAAGGTGAATCCCTTGCTGACCAGCGAACTGGGCAGACGCTGGCCGCGATTGAGGGGCGCGTACTGGAGCTTCTTGATCACCAGACTGACCATGCTGCGCTTGTGCTGGCGGTCGTCCTCGGAGTCGCCCACAAAGGCCCGGATGGTGTACTCCACGCCCAGGGGCTTGCCATTGTCGTCGCCCTCCTGCTGCAGAGTAACGGAGCTGGGCGAGTTGGGCGGGAAGTGGAAGGTGAAGGGATGGGCATTGCAGCCCAGCTTGCGCACCAACTTCTCCTGCATCGGTGTCATCTCCATGTTCGGATTGGTCATGGGCACAATCTGCTCCCGGGAGAGGATCAGCTCCTTGGAGAACTTCACTCCCATGACCTCGTCCTCCTCGCGACCATAGCGATAGGTGGTGGCCAGTTGGCCGAACACCTTGCGGTTCTTCAGGTAATCGGGCTCCACCACAATCACCCCATCCACGGGATCGCAGTAGTCCAGATGGTCGATGAAGTCACGGCGGCCCAGATAGAAGGTGACCTTGCCGTTGGGCGTGGCCTTCTTGAAGACCTTCACGGAGACAACCATGCTGGATTTCCTGGGTTTTCCTGGTTTCTGACTAATGCAACTGGCTTTGAGATAGGTTTTAGATAAGTCGGCGATGCGCGTTATAGAGTTTTCCGTTCGGCGGAGGAAAATGCGAAACCGCAGTGCCGTGCAACCTGCTTATATACCTTTGCCCTGGCCCTGTCCGTGGGGTTTCATTCTGGCCACTAACTGGATTTGCGCGTTATGCAGTTGTTTGGACATGACGGAAAACAGAAAGAACGGAAAAAAAAAACGAAAACTGCCAGCAAGCTGATTCTAGGGGTTGGTCTAGTTTTCTGCGCAGTTTGCCACTTGCCCGAGCAAATTGGCTAATGTCAAGTATTTCTGGCCATTACGACCTGGTGCGAGGTCATCTGGCCAACTGTTGAATAATTGGGATTATCATCTGATTCGGTGTTACCGGGTTGTTATCAGTGGGGAAGTCTTGCTCTGTTCCAACCCAAGTTTATATGGCCAGCAGCCATTGAAGCCTTAGAAGTTTTAATTTTGTTATGGATCAAACGTCGATATATTGATTTGTTTGTGGGCGGCTTAGTTGTCGGTTGAATGGAAACTGAATGGTTTTGTAACCAATAAGCAAAAGGTCAAAATTCCAAGTAATTTTTAGTTAAGTACGAAATAAAGATATTTTATAAAAGTCCACAAAAGGTCAAAGGTCTGAAAGCGAAATCAAAAGAAAGATTGATAATTCCAAAACCCGTCAGTCCAAGACTTGAATTGTGAATTTCCATAAGATTTCTCAGTTGAAAGCCTATTATTATCTTAGTAAAAGTACTAGAAAATGGGTCCAAAAGTTTGTTTTTTAACTCATAAAATAGTTTTTAAGCTTAAAAGAAAATATTAGGGATACTTGTGTTTTTAAATGGTTTTAAAAGGTTGGTTGTTAAAGACATTAGAATTACTAAGGCAGCATGTTGGATGAGGCCAATAGTTATATTCCCAAACAGTAATTTTGGTTTATGCATTAGAAAAATAAACCTGTTAGTATATCAATTAAATCTTATTAATCTGTATAAAATTCTTTCTTGTTTTGCAGTTGAGAGTCAAAACCAAAATGCAGACTCAGACGCACACCACAGCAGACCGACATGGCTATAGCCTGCGCTTTTCGCCTTTCGAGGCTAACTATTTGCTGCTAGCTACAAGGTAAGACCCCTTTCAAACCCTCCTTCTTGACTATAAATTAATCCCATGCAATTTTCATTCAATCCTTAGCCAACTGTACGGTCTCGCTGGAGGTGGTTCCCTCTTCCTGCTCGAACAGAACGCCAATGGGACCTCCACAGACGGCCAGAGTTTGGAGGAGCTGTGCCGGCTGGAGTGGTCCGATGGCCTGTTCGACGTCGCCTGGTGTCCCTATGCCGCCGATATCGCGGCCACCGCCTCCGGGGACGGATCGCTTCAGATCTGGTGCGGATTGGATGGCGAGTCGGCGGGCAACCAGCAGACGCCCAAGCAGCCGCTGATCTGCCTGCAGGAGCACAAGAACGAGGTGTACAGCCTGGACTGGGGCGAGAAGTGGAACTACCACACGCTGCTCTCCGCCAGCTGGGATTGCACTCTGAAATTGTGGGACTGCAACAGACAGAACTCGATCACCACCTTTGTGGGCCACAACGATCTGATCTACGGGGCCAAGTTCTCGCCCCTGATCGCCAATCTGTTTGCTAGCGTAAGTACCGATGGGCACCTTAACTTATGGAACTCTCTTGACTTTGCAGGTAAACCCCTGATGAGCATCGAGGCCCATGCGAGCGAGGCCCTCTCCTGCGACTGGTCGCACTTCGACCGCAATGTCCTGGTCACCGGAGGATCGGATGGCCTCATCCGGGGCTGGGATCTGCGCAAGATGCGGACGCACGTCTTCGAGCTGTACTCCGGGGAGTTCGCCGTCCGGCGATTGGCCTGCTCACCGCACTCGGCCGCGGTTTTGGCATCGGCCAATTATGACTTCACCACTCGGTAAGTGGGGGTTCTCTATTGGAAGGGATTTAGTTTGAATTAATAGGAACAAAATATTACAAAATCATAAAATCCTTCAGAATGGGTTCTGTTTAATATTATACAATTTAAGGAGAACATTTTATTTGTTTCCTAAAAATGTTGTTATTAGATTGTCAACATAAAAGTTTCCATTAATCTAAAAATAGGTTCAGAACTTTAATTTTAGTGCCTTGTTTGATTTTCAACAATGTCGTTCCACTTTAACTATCAGTAATACTTTTAAAGCATGAATTAGTATTTTGTATAACAAAGAGTTTGATTAGGGAAAGAAAAACTAACGAATACAAAATTTGTTAAGTATGTAATGAACGTTTATAGCTGCAAGACATTTCCAGAGAATAATTATTATAAGAAGTGTTCCCTTTTCACAACAGCTGTTCAATTTTAAAGTTTAATTTGAGATGAAAAACAAAACAATAGAGTTCTTTCATTTTAATATTTAATGGCCATTAAATTATGCTAAATAAAATCTTGATTGTATGCAACATTCTCCTCTTACCTCCCTTTAGGATTTGGAATCTGGAGCGTGGCGAAACCGCCCAGGAGATCAATGCCCAGCACACGGAGTTCGTCTGCGGACTGGACTGGAATCCCCACAGGACCCACCAGTTGGCCGACTGCGGCTGGGACTCTCTAGCCAACGTGTATACCCCGCAGTGCCTGAGTGGCGAACTGGCCGTCTAGG